CCAGGAAAGAGGCCTTTGAAGACGTGTAGCACTTCGAACATGAGGCCCTGGCTGGCAGCCTGGCTCTGTAGCCGTTGGACAATACTCTCCATCTGCTCCCTCTCGGATTCCTTGAACACTACCAGGTAGATATTGGGCACCTTCCAGGCACTCTGGCCCCAAGGGAGGAAAAGGAGCATGAGGACATCAAAAGAAAGACCCCTCCCCTAGGTACAGATCAACTTAGAGCCGAAGAGACCCAGGACATAGAGAGACTACAGATGCCAGCTGACTCAGTGAGGCTTAAACCTCTCCCCAACACACACAAAGCCTCACTGACATCACCCACAACAGATCCACACACTTCCAAACATGGCGTCCATCCCCAAAGGAACTGTGGGTGACCCTCAGCACTCATGTGAGTACACAGCGAGCCGGCTCCACCCTGGCCATTCCCCGATCCTGTCTTGAGTCTCAGCTGTGAACTGCCAGGAGTCCGTGGAGCACTGGCCATCCTAACTCCACACTTTGGTGCCTTCAGCCCCAGAACCATACCAAGCCAGTGGGCAAATGAGCAAATGCTCTCAGGGATCTTCACTCCAGACCTTCCCTTACACTGAAGCTAGAGAAGAAATGGCATCCACATGGCTCCTCACCCCCAACCCGCCCGCACCTCAGAGCCCCGGTATATGATGGTTGTGGGCCAGCCGTGGATCTCCAAAGGACGGGTCAGCTCAGGCCCCTCTCTGGGTCTGTCCCGCTGCTCTTGGGCTCCGGACTCATCCAGCTCCTTTTCAGCTTCAGCCTTCACCGGGCTCAGCAGCATCAGCAGCAGCAAGGGCAGCAGTGGCCACTGTGGCCACCCACAGCCATGGGTGCCCATTGGACAGGAAGAGAGTTTGGCACCCCTGGTGCTGACACCCAGAACCAGGACCAGCCAGGAAAAGCACAGAGCTAGGCAGGACAGCTGGGCTGTCTGGCTCACTAAGTAGCAGTTGCCTGAAACCAGGTGCCTCCAAGTATCAGGAAACCTAGGGTGCAGAGTGTTGAACACCTGGAACCTGGGGCAATCCCATCTGATTATATACTAATAGAGCCAACCCCCTCCACACAACCCCACAGGCTGAACAGGAGGTAGTCTGCATGTCTGCATTCAGTTCTGACATGGGATGACCAGCGGTCAGGGAACCGCTCCCCGCCCTCTCCGTGTTCATTGGCACCTTTGTCAGAACGTGTCTTCTGTTCTGAAGCGTCTAGCCCTGCCTGAGGGGCACACTGAACTGGGGTCATCTCCCCATTTCACAGATAGAGAAATTGAGGACCAGAAACATCTTATCAACATCACGAGGCTAGAGGCAAAGCAGATCTGATTTTTCCAGCTGTTTCTTTGGAGCCCTAAGGGGCAGTGAGGTAAAGGTTGTATCTTGCCCCCAGAAGCCCCAGGATCCTCCTTAGGCTAAGGGAGCTCGAAGAAGATTGACAGGGTGCTCTGGCTCAGTGTATGAGTCCCCAGGTTTAATAAGTGCTTCAAATAGGAAAGGCTCCCTGCCTGCACATCTCTCAGAGAACTGTCAGGGTCACCTTCATGTGACCAGTAACTAGCCAGAGCTTGGTAGGTACCTGTAATGACTGATTAGGCTACAGATAGAACTGTGTGCCCAGCACTGTTCTACATGCTGGGTTACAGCAGTGAAGGTGATGGGCAGACACAGAGTTTGGAGATGATGTCAGCTGGACACCAGTGCTGAGGGGAGGGGACGCGCATTGTGGGAAGGGAAGGAAGAGCTGGGCTTAGATGCAGGGCAGTGTGAAAAGCTCCTTTGAGGGAGGGAGCTGAGGAAATGGGCTGTGAGGACAATGTAGTGTGGCCCCCGGGGGCAGGGCTGCCCAGCAGGAAGGCAGTAGGATGGGCAATGTGGGATACAGATCTAGAGAGGTTTGAGTCCCCTGTGGGGACAGGGTGTGTGACATCAAGTCTGCAGAGTGGACACAGGTTCCAGAGGGACAAGGGCAGATGGGAGGAGAGTGCATCTGAGCAAGGCCTCCTAGGTGCAAGGACTGAGTCCCCAGGGCCTGTGGTGAGGGCCCTCCCAGGCCTGCTGGACTCCCCACAGGACACAGTGGTCACAGACAGGGTTAGGGTAGTCCAGGGGTAATGTGATGTGTATCAAGGACTTTGGAGGACACTGAGCTGGGAGAGGCAGCCCTCAGCATCAGGAGGAATGCTTCATGGACTCTGGTGCTAGAGACAGGCAGATGTGGGGAAAGCAGATGCTCAGGACAGGGAGCTATAGAGCCATGGGGAAGGCCATGTGGAGAGAGGCTGCTGAGAATGGGGCTGCTAGTCAAGGATCAGGAGGGCTAGAGCACAGAGGAGCTGTCAGGAAGGGAGGAGGGACAGAGGCACAGGCTAAGAGCTTCTTTCTCCCCAGGAAGTTCTGGAGACTCAGGGGAAGCAGTGGCAGTGCCCAGCTGAACCAGCAGAGGACACCCAGTGGCCAGAGTGAGGCCCTGCAGCCTGCAGCCTGACAGGCAGGCAGGGCAGGGCCCACCTCAGCCTGGGCAGCACCTGCTCAGCCTTCCCACCAAAGCACACAGGGAGGTGGTAAGAGCATGGTGGTAAGAGAGGCAAAGCACACAGCAAAGGCAGGTTAGGTGTGGGGGGAGCCCAGTCAGAGGGCAGTGCATCCCAGCAGCCTTCCTGGAGGAGGCAGCTCAACATTGTGGTCCAGCTGTAACAGGCAGCAATTCCACAGAGCACAGCAGGGTCCACTTGGAGATGCTGCGATGAAACAGGGCTGATTTTAATGTTTGAAGCCAACATAAGACAGAGCAAGGTAGGGGGATTCCGGAAGCTTCCCAACAGAAGAGAGTCTTGGCTGGCTTGCTATATGTACATACTTGCTCATTAGTACCATTGCATGAACATCTCTAAGCCCAACACAGTTTGAGGGCCTCTACCTCTTCCTCTCCTCCCCTCTCTTGATCCTGGAGGCTCCTTGCAGACACTTGTGGGGAGAAGATGGAGCCAGGGCCTCCTCTTACCTTTTCCTGCTCACCTCTGAGCATTTCCAAAATTCCAGTGAGCACAGCAGCCACAGCATGAGTCATGGGCACATGGTGGCAGCAGGGAGCAATGCAGAGAGGGTCCCCTCCCCAGGCAGCCCCCACTCCTGAGCAGAGAACTGGATTTCAAACAAATGCAGCAATGGTATTCACTAGATACGATGCTGAAAATGAACTGTACAACTTGTTGGTGAGATGGAAAGGGAAAACTGGAAGAGGGAAAGAGGGGTGGCAATGTTCAAAAGGAAAAGTACTTTTTTTCTGAGAGATGTAACTGTAGCCCCTCTGTTTAAGCATTTTTAGATAAAAAGAATAAAAAATTACAGATAACCTTAAAAATAAGAAAGAGAAAAGAAACAAATGAGGCAAGATGGAAGTTTTCTGAGAGCTCCTAGAAGAGAAGAACGCACAGGGGCACGTGGGTAGTAAGGGGATGGGGCAGCCACACAGGGGAGGGGGGCCAGGGACCCCCAGCTGAGCCAGCTCCTCCTGCTGTGTGTGTCACAAGATCAGGGCTAGCCCTCACCTGACAGACCAGAGCACCAGCACCAGCCGGGAGAAGTGCAGATCCCTCCCGGACAGCCTGGATGCCCAGAGTAGGGTCACAGTAGGACACAGTCCACGGCAAAGGTACCAAAGATTCACGCACTGATGGAGCCTCTCTGTCTGAATAGCCCAGGATAGTCCTGGCAGATTTGTGCCTAGGTTATGATGGTCTCTACTCCATGTACTCTCTCTCTCTCTCTCCTTTGCTCTCTGTTTCTCTCTGTCTTTGTCTCTTTGTCTCTCTCTCTGTCTCTCTCTCTCTCTCTTTCTTGCCAGTCCTGGGCTTGAACTCAGGGATTGGGCATTATCCTGAGCCTCTTTTGCTCAAAACTAGCACTCTACTACTTAAGCCACAGCACCACTTCTGGCTTTTTCTGTTTATGTGGTACTAAGGACTAGAACCCAGGGCTTCATGCATTTTAGGTAAGCACTCTCCCACTAAGCCTCATTCCCAGCCCCTCCTAGCACTCTTCCTTTCCAATGAATCTTACATATCCTTTGGGACTGCAAGGTCACTTTGTCAAGGCGGCCATCTGGACAATTTCTCAGGACATAGACAGGCTTTAGTCCCCTCCCCCAATCTTCACGCCAATGGGTTGTTTCATCCTATGGCCACTACAGAGGCCCCTGTTCTGGGGAGACATGACAGCTGGATGAGGAGGGAAGAATGAACAGGGCTGTGGAGGCAGCAAAGGCAGGCCTTGGCACCAGTGGTGCAGGAGGAAAGCCATAGTGAGAAACATGCCTGCCACAAGGGGAAGTCAAGAAGTGAGGAATCCCTTATTCTAAGAAGCTGGGATATCTATCATTCAGGCCTGCAACCACTAGGAAAATGGCATCTTGAGAGAGAAGGGCAGCTAGGCCAGGGCATGGGCAGCAGAATAATAGAATATTGTAGCATAAGGGGGGTAGGGGCTGTCCAGGCATGAAGTCAAGAGTCAGCAGAGGTCAGTCATACATCTCACTAGAGGATCATGGGAGACCCAGGAAGAACAGGACCAGGAGGAAATGCAGTCAGCTCTGAGTGGGATGGATCACACTGCCCACCAGGGGACTGAAACTGAATAGGAAGAAAACCTTCATGCAGGACCAGGAACCTGGGTAGAACCACAGAGGGGTCCTGTCAGAGACCATCTTGGGGGAGACTGGAAAGGGTTTCTGAGAATCCAGCTGCTGAAAATCTCAACAAATCTCACAGGATCTTGAGAAGCTGGAAGCAGGAAGAAGCTGGAAGAGCAATGGTCCCTTAAGAGTTGTCATCCCCATCCACAGCTTCCTTCATAGTTCACAGAATGCTCCAGCCCATCATCTGTCCATCCAGTCTCACTTGGCAGATTGGGAAACTGAGGCCTGTCAGGTCACTTAGGGTTAGCAGAGCTGTCAGGCTGGAAACGTGGAGCAGAGTCATCTCATCCCCAAGTGTCAACCTCGAAGCCCAGCTCCATGTCTGGAAGGGGGTCTTCGCGGATGTCTGGCAGCCCATAGTACAAGTCTTCCTCTTCCTCCTCAGGCTCATCGGGGCTTGTGTCTGCAGAAGCCTTCCTCTTTTCCTTTGCCTTCAGAGATGACTTCAAGATTTAGGGTTGGGCTGCATCCTGATAGTGCTTCTCTGGGGCTGTGTCATCCAATGCGGGGGTGTCATTGATTAGGGCATAGAAGGGGTCCAGCAGGCCCCATGGAGCTTGTGGCCTCTGTGGACAAGAGCGCGGCTCCTCGCTGTCAGTTGGAGATGAGTTAGGGCTGCTACCTTCGCTGGAGTCTATGTCCAGCTCATCTTGGAAGGAAGCTAAGGGTGCAGGGGCCAAGGGACAAACTGGGGGGCAGCAGGGGTAAAAACAAGGAGGTCAATAGTCCCCTGAGTCAGATCGCCTGGGTCCTGATCAAAGCCACCTGCTGCAAGGCCTGATGACAGTTCACCTCTCCGAGCCTCAGTTTCCCTCCTTAGAAGGTGAGGAGAAATACGAGTACGCACTGCTGAGCCTGTTTCTGAGAGTCATAGCTGATAACAATGTGCAAAGCACATTGCACAATGCCCGGCCTGTGGTAGGTGCTCAAAACAGGGCTGTTAGATTACTGTGCAGACTTCACCTCCAGTCATCCATATCTCCAGCCATCCCTCTTCTCCTCTGGTCTCTCACAACACTAGTTACCCCAGGAGTCCCTCTGTTATCTCCTTTGATTGCCCCACAAGACCAGAGTTCTGGAGGCATGGAGCCCAGGCAGGCCTAGAAGGGAGCTTGTGCCAGGTTCTAACAGTGGAATGAGTAAACAAGTGGATGAGTCCAGAGCTCAGTCACACGCAAGCAGACACAGGCATGCAGGAGGACAGCCTAGCCTGTGGTCACTGGGAGGTTGACAGCAGTGGACTCACGTCCTCTGCTTCCTTGTCCTCAGCAATCATGACAAACATCCAGAGAAAGCAAGAACCTTCTATGTGCCAGGCATCAGAAATGTATTACTCCAAGCTTCACAACACACCTGGGTATGTGGTAATGACTATTCCATTGGGGAAACTGAGGCTCCAGAGAGTAAGAAAATTGCCAAGTTGACACAGCCATAGAGCTGGTTTTGCAGCCAGGCCCATCTGACCCAAAGTCTGCTCATGTGTTTGCTGCTGCCTTCATGTCTCACATCCCCTGCTGTCTGCCCCTCACTCCCAAGTGTTCTCCACCCTTGGTGAACCAACAGCCCTCCCTTCCTTTGCACACTCGCCTGCCCTGAACCCGAGTTCCTTCTTGTTCCTTCTGGTTGAAACTCCAGTAGACAACCACGACAGCCTCCACCCCGGTCTGATCGTCATGAGAACCACCTTCTCCTCACCGCTGGCTCCTGACTTCAGCTCAGGAGTCAGGAGCAGGTGGGGGTCTTCACTGTAGCCCCTGACCATCATGTGGATGTGGCTGAAGTTGGGCAGGCTCTGGTCATAGGCGACTTCCTTCCACAGCCTGCCATAGTGGGATGGGGGCAGAGGGCCACACAAAAGACAGGGAAAGAGAGAAGGGGCAAGAGAGAGGGAGAAGGAGAGGGAGAGGGAGAGAGAGAGGGAGAAGGACCAACAATTGCATATATTAATCATATTTTAAAAAAAGAAAAATAATTGCAGTTGACCTTGCCAAAGCTTAATAAAAGGCCTTTATATTATTCAGTCTAGAACTATCTCTAAACTTCCAGAATAAAGGATATTTGATTGTTATTCATCATAAGAATAAAGGTAATGGACCAAAACCCAAAACAAAACAACATTAAAACCTAAGCGACTCTACCGAAGGTGAACATAGTCCCTCCACTATGAAATTTTCAACCCAGTTCTCATCACAGTGTACGGATATTGTCATCATCCTCATCACTATTATCACCATCACCTGCATAATCACCACCATGATCATCACTATAACCTCCATCACAATTTTTATCACCATCTCACTACTATCACCACCACCATCATCACCATCACCACCATCACTTTAATCAACATCACCTACATAATCACCAAGACCACCATTATCATCACCATCATAACCGCCATCGTCTCTCTCAGTAAAACTACCAACAGCAATACTGAAAACCAATGCTACCATCTTCACTATAATTGCCTTCATCACCACCAGCTGCTGTGGTCCGGGGCTCTGGCAGAGCAGGCAGGAACAAGGAGTGGGGGCCTCAGAGGCAGCTCTCCCTTCCAGTCCTTCCTCTTCTCTCTGCTCCAGCTCAGCTGCCAGACTCCACATCCCCACCCACTAGCTCTGCCCTCATTCCATTCCTCATCCTTGGGCAGGAGAATGCTGGCTCTCACTGACTATGCTTTACCATAATGAGTCAACACAGGCGACCAGCTGGAGCTGGCCCAGCCACCACAGCCATGCCACATGGAGGGGACTGGATGGCTCCTCAGTTCCTGCAGTCTTGGGTTCAAATCCTAACATCATGTTTCCCACCTACAGAGCATCAGTCTCACAGCAACTCTTTTGCTTCTGGATATTAATCAGCCTGACTACTTTCTCCCTCAGCATGGCTGCTCCCTTTCTTCTCATCTATCAACTGAAGGGGAAGCTCCAGGTTCCTTCCGTGGCAGCTCAGCCCATTCCTCTCTATCTGTACTTGCTCCCCTGCCTGCCAGCCAGCAGCCACGCTGACCCATTGACCTCATTCTCTTATCACCGCTTTGCTCATGCCCTTTTTCTGCCTGGAAGAATTCTTATTTAACCTGTAAAACCCCAGCTCACTATGAAGTTTATTTCATAGATAACTGTTTCTCCCCCAGACCCTCAGCTACTCAAATGCAGGGAGAGCCTAATTTATGTTTGCCTTGGCTACCACCACCCTCATATCCTAGCTAAAAATTTTCTTCCCATATATTTATACCTCAGTCAATCCAGAATATTTGAACACCTGAAGTGTTCTGTAGGCCCGGGTTCTAAGAGCCCAGAAGAAGCCGAGGATGAGCCTGGAACACAGGGGTCCAGGTTGTCTTCGCCCCCATGTGTCTCCATGGTTTAAAACATTGTTTCTCAGTTTTTCGTTGGGCTGAACTATTTTTGTACCAATAATGGGGTTTGAACTTAGGGCCTGAGTGCTGCCCCTTACCTTTATTCACTCAAGGCTGATGCTCTACTACTTGAGCCAGTCTGTGCACTGCTGTGGTAGTACCTCTCTGCTTGGTTCTCTTGCTCACTCCAGTTCTAAATGCAGCCTATTTGAGGCTGTTGTGACTAAACAAGACTATAGAATGAAAGGTTTTGTCTAATCAGTGGTCAGAGTACAAGGATTGTGTTTTATTGCCTTATAATACACATCGAATTAATTGGTTAGATGAGGACATATACACACGTAAAGGACTTGGTATAGCAAATCTCACCCTTCATTTTAACTATATGAACCATAATTTCCTGTTCTTTGCCTCAGGGGTCAGAATCTCCAATGATCATTAGCCAGTTTACACATGACCTTAATGATGTTGACCCTTAGAAGCCTGTGCCTAGCACCTGACAACATGGAGTTCTTGGCACCTCAGGAAACCAGAATCTCATCCTCAAAGCCCTTAGCGGAGCCTTCAGAGCTGGGAAAGTGTGACTCTGGAGGGCCATGTGCTCTGAAGGAAAGCTTTCTTTGGCCCCTAGAGGGTTGGCAGATGTTGGCAGACAAACTCCCCCAAGTGGACCCATGTCCCGCATGTGGATTGATACTTGTGTGGAGACCAAGGAAACAGAGCTGCTGCCAAGCTCGTGTCCCATGAGCACACAAGAGAGGGGTAAGCGGTGGCTTTGTCTTCATTGCCACAAGAGAAACTCCTTTGTTTTTATATCTTATGGGAGAAAGACGAACTGCCTTTTGGTGTGTGGGGGAAAATTTTAATGTTACCGTAATATTGAATAGTAATATCCCATTTGAAATGATGTAAAGATATGTGGTAAAACTCCCTTACACTGTAAAGTAGTGGCTGAAGAATTGTGTTTACATGGACGTTTGTGTTTAATATGTCTCCCTCTCCATATAGCATTGCCCATGGGTCTGGTGGAGACCTCTGGACTTAGGGTTGGACCTTGAAGAAAAGCTATCAGGATCAAAACTGGAACATTCACTAAGCTCTTGAAGGTACTTTCTGATACGATTAAGACTGAAAAGAGCAATAAAAACACTGTGTTCTGTAGAAGCACAGGCTGAACTCTTGGCCGTCAATCCTAAGGAAGTTATTGTGGCTCACAAAACAGATTTTTTAAGTGAAATTAAAAGCACTTTCAGATAAAATTTTTATCCAGTTTGACTTCTTAAAATTTATCTTTTTAAGGGTGGGTTTGAGATGTTTGGGTGGGTTAAATGGGCATTTTGACAACATGGCTTCTCCTTTGGCATGTGTAATTGTGATGTTTAACCAACATTCTTGCAGTTTAAGATGACACTTTTAAAATAAAATTCTCCAATTGATGACTTGAGCCCTGGCACTACAGGAGAATCAGCAGACCCTGGAGGATCTTATTTGGAATTGACATTCTCTATTGTAATTTTATTCATTTATTTTTGAATTTTGTTTTGTTGTCACTGGAAAGGAAAGATGGTGCTGAGTTTTAAATGTTAAAAGTGTACAAGTTGCTTTGTTACAATAAAACTAAATGTGTACAAAAAAGGGTTTGATGCTTTTCTTTCAGAATGGACATAGTTGATCTGACCTTCCTAGTTTGACATGTATAATAACGTCACTGTCGAACTGTCCCCTGACTTCAGATGTTTTGATATGCACTTTGCAGGATGACCTCAGGGCAGTATAGATCTAGAATAAAGGGATTTCAATTAAAAAAATACCTTTTTAGGGCTTGGAGACATATTGAATAAACTGTAGTCTCAAACCATGTGACCTGCAATCATATGCTTTAACCTGATCAAAACTGCTGTGGCCCTTTAACATAGGTTGTACATGAAGTTAGGAATCTTGGTTTGGAGACACTGTTTTGTGAGTTTCATTATGTGTAATGCTGAGATTTACCTTGAAATTTTATTTCTCCTCAATGATGAGTAATATAAAAGCAATGTGTAAGAGTGACTTCCTTAGAAATCTCTAAGAGTGACTGAATACTCATCCATTCAGTTATACTGCCCAGTGTAGCATCATAGCTCATCAGATTCGGAGGCCCGGGGCAGTGGAGAAGGAGTACAAAAAGACCTTTCCTGTATTGTGTATCTTTTGTATATTGAATTGCTTAGTTTCAGTCCTCTTTCAGCTTTAGATACATGCTCTGCCATATTTCACACTCACCGTGTGCAGAGCTTGGGAACCTTGGGAAGTGCCAGATTGCTACTGTCAGCCAGACTTGCCAAGTCAAAAAGGCCCCAAAGTGCCTTTCTGGTTGTTTTGCATCTGTGGGGTCACATGACAGAGGGGCCAACTTCCCTGCTGTGCACATAGCACAGCCCTTTCTTCCCTCCTAAAAAATCCCTTGTAGTCCACAGGCACCATTTCAATTGTGTAAGCCCTACACCCAAGAGAGAGAAGGCCAGCATTGAAGAGAACTGTGCCTCCAAAGCACGCAGATGATTGGAAGATTTTGTGTGGTTCCAATGTTCTTATAATTTGGAATGAGACATTCTAAAGTTGATTTTAAATACCTGATTGCTCCAGGCTCTCTGCTATAGCCGCCCTCCCCCCTCCAACACTTCTCTCCACACCCATTTTTGCTGAAAGATTGTGTGAAACATGCATTGAAATGCTGGCGGTGATATGTGTTGGGGTATAGTCACCAGCAACTGCACTCAGGAGCCAAATTCAGGAGTGAAATTGCCACTTCTAGTCCCTTATTTCCTATGGAAATGATGATGCCCTCCACCCCTGGACCTGCCATCTGTCCTGGAAAGCTACATCAGGATGCTGAACACTCTGCACTTTGATTCATTGTTACATTGTTGCTACAATGAGCATCATTTCTGCTTTGCTAGCAACCACACTATTGTCCTTAGCTGCAGTCAACAAATCTTCTGTGGACTCTGTTCAAGGTCATACCACAAAGGGTCAATTGTGAGAGGCTTCCCTTGGAAGAGTTGTCACTTTCACTGCCAATTTTTATGATGTTTTATAATCTTTCACAAAGTCTACAAATCAAGCAGGAATTACATAATCTGCTCAATGCTTTCCCAAGGAGTCACTATCCAGTACAAATCATGTCCCCACCCACCCCTCTAAAAAGCTAGGTTTCCTGCTCTGTTCCCATTCCTTGTGTCCTGGGTGCTCACATGAGGCCTCTCCCTAGTGTTATTCGATATTTCTCCTTCCCTGCAGGCTAGGCACTTCCTTCTGAATCATGGAGACCAACTCTCTGTAGGAAGCTATTCAGGCACAGGTATGATTCCTGCTGGTTTGGGGTAGGTCCTGGGCCTTCATGAAAGGGGCAAGTGGAGGTGATGGTGGAACTGGAGATCCCAATCTCACATTGGAGCCTTTATCATCCCTTGACTATTGAGCATTTCCCACATGTGACAATGAATTGTCAGAAGACTGGTTGGCAGGAGTTTTACCTCTGCTGAAATCCCATCATTTTTACACTGCCTGAGCAGAGGTAGACATTGCCTAAAATACTGACACTCGCCAACATTAGCTGGGGACAGGAGTTCCCACAGTGAATGGTTTAATTATACTTCGTAAAATGGACAGAAACACCATGTGCTGCATGAATGCTATAGGGAAGCCTGGCAGAACAGTGTTCTTCTAAACTGGATGGAACTCACTGCCCAATCATGACTCAAATGCAGCCTGAAATAGGGAGAATGAGTTTCACTAGGGGTCCCTGGCAGAAGAGTAGATAATAATAGGGATTGTATTTACCCAGCCTCTCCCAAATTCTTGTCACCTGGAGTCTCCTTAAAACCAGAAACTTTCTCCCCGCCCCCACTCCCCCAGAAATCTCTTAATTCATGTGGGTCTAGATCTGGTGCAGAAACTTGCCTGAGAGTGCCACCTACTGCCAGAAGAGATCACTTCAGGCTGAAATAGAAGACATCCTGAAAAAGCTAGGTTTATCATGCTTAGTCCTTGTTCTTCTCTGGGGTCTTGTGGACCTGGCAGACACCATCTCACCATGGAGCAGGGGACTTGTGCTGCAGTGTGACACCAAGAATAACTCCATGGCAGCATGAAAGTTGGAAAGCTAGTCACAGGCCAGGCTTGGTTTCAGGTCAAGAACTTTGACTCCTTAGAAACATCTGCAGGTTTGTGAACAGCAGTTCCATGAATATTCACTGTGCTTGGCCTAGTCCTCTTGACTGGTGGGATGGGAAAGGGGATAGGAACTTGGCTCAGTGGTAGAGCAGATCCTAGGATGAGGCACCACAATTGTGTGTGGGTCTTGGAGAGGCTACAGGTCCACATTCACTGCATTCCTGTAAGATATGCACCAGAGGGAATTTCTGAGCCAAGACTCTCCTTATCACTCAAATAAAACTACATAATCAACCTGGTTATCAAACCTGCAATAAATATCAAGTCACAAAAGCAAAACAGGTCAAAAAAATTGGCTTGCTATAAAAGGGCAACAGAAAACTGACTCATGCCTCTAACCCTAGCTACTCAATTGGCTGAGATCTGAGGATCTCAGTTCCAGCCCAGGCAGGAAAGTCTGTAAGACTCTTATCTACAGGAAACTAATCAAAAAGCTAGAAGTAGAGCTGTGGCTCAATGGATAGAATACTCATCTTGAGGCAAAAAGGCTCAGGAACAGTGCTCGCCCCTGAGTTCAAGCCCCAGAACTGATACAAAGCCAACAGAGACCCTAGTGATAGACAAGTGTTGGTTCATTCTGATATTTATTCACATGTGGGCAGCTGATCCTTACACATGCCACCTGCACCCCTCAGGTGTCCACCCAGCCTCCTTGAGAGAGACCACCACAGGAGAAGGCCCATGCCCCCAGGGAGAAGCCCTAGAGCAAGTAGGCTCTGGCTGCCTTCACACCTTGCTCCCCCCAGAAATAAGGTGCCCAGCCTGCCACCTCCCTTTATATCACCTCACTTCGCACTGTATGCCTGGCAGGCCCTCCCCTCTCTGGCCCTGTATCTTGCTCCATAAAGTATGGGTAACCAGTGCATACACTGTAGAGCAGAAGAGGGATCAGGAGAAGTAGGGATGGGGATATGATCTGTCAGCCTCTACTGCAGGTGCTCCCAGTCAGAGACATAGCTGGAGGTGGAGTAGAGCAAGGATAGCAAGGAGAAATTGAGGCATGGCCCTATGGTCTCCTGAGACATGCTTGTCCTGGCTGGGGCTGGCACTCTCAATCAGTAATTCCTAAGGAGTTTCTACAAAGTGAGAAGCCATGAGGGGTCCCCAGCACCAGTCACCCTCATTTGTTCCTCCTAACACTGGCTCCTCTCAATCCAAGTGCCTCTTGCAGACCGGTATCAACTCCTGGAGGCAAATGCACATGAAAGGTGACTTTGCTCATAAGTCTGCCAGGAACCACGCTTGCTGTCAAACCACCCTTCCTTGCTTCTAATGGGGGCCCATTCTGTAACTCTGCCAGAGAAGGGCAGTCAGGTGGGAACAAGTTCTCTCAGGGCAAGAGTCTCCACCCCAGTCCTGCCCTGGTCAGCACCACCCGGCAGGCTGAGGTCTTTCCATCCACTCTATGCTTGTCCTGAAGGCTGGATGCGGCAGCAGATGGCAGTGACTATGACAAACTCCTCACTGGTCCTTCCTGTTTCCTCAGGATCCTGCTGCCTCACCACACAGGTGTTGTCCACAGGGAAAGCTCCCAGGGTGACTGAGGTCTCAGGATGGGCACTGCAGCTGGTCAGGGTCCAGCCTGCATCACAGCTCACAGTGACCTGCCAGAGTCCAGACAGGACAAGTAAGGCCAGGTCCCGCAGGCATGGTCAGGTCTCTAAGCCACCTGCTACTGTCCCTCCCAGCAACCCTCAGTAGGGACCAAACTGTCAGCACCTGGCTTGCTTCTGCCCCTCACACCCCAAAGGGGCTGAGTCCAACACTGCCCACCACTCCCTCAGGGTGCTTCAGCCCCAGCCTACCATGACACTGGGGCCCAGACAGACATCTCAACAAACCAAAGCCCCTCCCACCTCCCACTTCCCTCCAAGCCACACCTCCCACAGCCTTCCACACCCAGTGATGGCAACTCCATCCCCCCAGCAGCTCCACAAGACCTTGCAACAGTCCTCCACTCCTTGTTGCAGCTCATCCCAGACCAGAGCCACCAGCCTCAGGTCCCAAACTCCTCCTGCCATGGCCTCTAGAGGCTAGCTCTCAGACTCCAAGAGGCCAAGTGTGACCTGCCCTCCCTTCAGAGATCTGCCTTCTTCCTCCAACCTTCCATGGTTGCTCAGGCATTCCAGCCCTGAACAACTCCCACTCCGTTTGTTAAGTGCACAGGTGTTAATGTGAGTGTGTGTGAGAGGGAGAGAGACAGACTGACAGACAGACAGTCAGACAGAGACAGAGACAGAGATAGAGACAGACAGAGACAGAGACAGACAGCCAATCCTGGGGTTTGAAATCCAGACTTGAGCCTCAGCTCCACTTCCGGCTTCTTGAGGCTGTTAATTGGAGGTGAGAGTTTCACAGACTTCCCTGCCTCCGCTGGCTTTTTACCCCAATCCTCAGATCTCAGCTCCCTGAGTAGCTAGACATACAGGTATTAGTACAGACCCCTGGCTTGCTTTTTTGTTTTATTTAAGGCAATTCTGGGGATTGAATTCATGAGTGCTAAGCAGGCTCTCTACCACTTGAGTCACAACTTTGGTCTTTTTTGCTATAGTTATTTTTCAAATACAATCTTGGCCCAGACTATGTGCAGTCCTCCTACCTATGCTACTTAGAGAGAGAGACAGAGACGGAGACAGAGAGGCAGATTGGGAGAGAGAGAGAGAGAGAGAGTGAGGGAGGGAGAGAGAGATAGCTGATAGTCCAATTGTACCAGCATACCCAGATACCCAGTTTATTTGTTTAGATGGTTTTGTTTTTTTTTAATTACTTTTTGCCCAGGTAGGCCTCAAACTGAGATCCTACTTCTTCCTTAAAAGTAGCAGGTATAACAAGCACAGCATTACATTACTGTTTTGAGATTCAGCAATGCATTTCTTGTTTCTCTGTCTCTCCGTCTCTGTCTTTCTGTTTCCCTCTGTCTCTGTCTCTCTGTCTCTGTCTCTGTCTCTCTGTCTCTCTCTGTCTCTGTCCCTCTCTCTCTCTCTGTCTGTGTGTCTGTCTATTTGTCTGTCTGTCTGTCTGTCTGTCTGTCTCTCTCTCTCTCTCTCTCTCTCTCTCTTTCTCTCTCTCTCTCTCTCTCTCTGCCAATCCTGGGGCTTGAATTTAGGGCCTGGGAACTGTCCTTGAGCTTCTTTTGCTCAAGACTCTACCACTTGAGCCATATCACCACTTTTGGCTTTTTCTGTTTACTTTATACTGAGAAAATTGAAACCAGAGCTTCATGTGTGCGAGGCAAGCACTCTACCACTGAGCCACATTCTCAGCCCAGCACTGCATTTCTTTATGCCCTGTTTATGTGTGCTATCCTTAAAGTGGGACAGGGAACCTGGAGAGCAAACCTTACAAATCTGGACAGAAACAAAATCAAGCCACAACACTCACACACACACACACACAGCACAGGTGCATAGATCCTCCACTGTGCACTGACCACCCCAAGAGGATACAGGCCCCAGCCATCTCCACCCCACCTCCCACAACCTCAACCCTTCACCTTCTCCAAGGGGCTTAAAGGCCTGTACTTCTTCATTGTACACTGCAGGCCCGGAGCATGGCAGCAGGAAGCATGGACACTGGCCTCCTTGTGTCCCGTGCACCGCCTTGGCTGATTAGTACCTCTCTTGGGTGTGGTATGTGGGAAGACACCAAGATTCTCTACCTCCCAATGGGAGCTGCAGCCTGGAACAGAAGAGGGCCAGCTCACACACTGGGATGCCGGACACCCTTTCCCTCAATCACGTACTTTATTTTTAGGATCCAAACCCAGGGAAAACCAGGAGCAGCTCTGAGTAGAAAAGATATTGCCTGAGCAGCAGGACTTTTGGCTTAGCTCTGACTTGTAGGACCTTGGGAGAGCAGCTCAACTGCTCTGAGCCATAGTTTCCTGGGAATCACATGGTCTCCTCTCCACTAAAGAAGGGAAGCCCTGGGACAGGGCTTCTAACCACAATCCCCTCCCACCTCAGGTCCCTTCCCCATCCATCACCAGCTAGAAGATCAGCCTGAGCTTGGATCTGTGGGCTTGGGAATCAAGGGCACCTGGCTATAAAATTGTGGATGGCTTGCTGGACTTCATCAAGCCTTAGTTTCCCTAATTGTAAAATAGCCAGAGCAATACCATCAACTCACAGAGATACTGCTTAGCTGAAGCAGGAACATGCCTGGGTAGTCCCCGTACTGCGCAGGCAAGACCAGATTCTGACCATATTAGGGTTATGATAACCAGGACCAGAGCCCTTCTTCCAGCTCTGTGGTTTTGGGGACTTGGCATGAGCTGCGCAGTGAGTGCCTGTGTGCCAAAAGCCAGGCTTCCTGCCAGGCCAGCAGCCACATGGAGCTCTTGTCCTGGACAAGGCTCCAGCCACTGAGCTTATCTGACTGCTGCAAATCCTAATCCAGCCATCTTTTAACCCCACCTAACCCTTACTATTCCAGAATCTTCAGACTCCCCAGTGCTTCTCTTCCAAGATCAGCTCCTGACTTAGTGATTCAAGATAATTCCCTCAGTTCCCCAAACCCTCTGGCACCAAGCTCTATCTGAGCCTGGTTCCAACCCAAGAAACACAGTCCTTAATTCGTAAGTGCAGCCCTCACCCATGAATTCCAGCCACTCTCCTGGGCAGGTTTGTTATGGAAAGTTCCCAGCCCAGAGAAAGGACTTCAGAGTGATTGTCGATGGCAGTGGCCACCAGAATGCATACTGTCCAAGGCTAACAGCTGAGCATTCATGATGAGGAAACTAAGGCACAGGGCTGAGAAGGAACTTGCCAGCTACTGAGTGGCAGTTGGAATCAACCTGAGCTGTTCCCCACTTCTGACAGGCCTGAACTGGAGCTCCATACCCACACAGCTGGTAAACAGCTCCCAGTGCTCAAGCCGGAGCCCACCTGCCATCCCTCTCATCGCTGCCACTGAGGAAGGGGAGGAAGAGAAAGTGAAGAGAGAGAGAGAGGTGAACCTACCCAAGGCCACATAGCATGCACGTTGCAGATCCTGTTTGGCTATGGGTCCTGAGACTCCAAAATCATCTGCTCACACTCATGGGGACCAAGTGTGTGGGCCATGTCTCCTGAGCAGCAGGAGGTAGGTCATCTTCCTCACCCTGGTGGGACCAGCCCCTACCTGTCAGGACTTGGTCAGGATCCGGGCAGTGGGTGTAGGTCTTCAGCCCCACCAAGGCTGGAGGAGCTGTGTGGATGCTGCAGTTCGCTCGGGGGAGCAGGCAGCATCTGGCCACTGCAGAAACCTGGCTATCTCCAAATGCCAGGCAAACGCGTCTGTTTCCTAGGATCTGAGAGTCCAAGAGAGGAATGGGAACTTGTTGTGAGGAGGTTTGGGGACTGGGGAAGCTGGTCTGAGAGGGACCCAGTCTGCAAGTTCTAGTTCCTGAGTCCTCAGCACTGGTTGGGCCCAGGCTGGCTCTGCTGCCATGTGCAGCTCAGCTATGAATCTTCCCAACACTGACAATGGCTTCCAAGTGGAGACAAGGAGACCTGATAAAGCAGCACAGGACCTACGGGCTCCCTGACGCACCTGGCCTCTCCTGAGAAACCTCCCTAACATTGACTTCTGCACAGAAATATTCACCCACCTCACCTTCATGGCCCCCTACCCTTTCCAAGGACACCCAGGGCCTGGATGATTCTGCAGCTTTAAGGTTGCTAACTAACAGAGCCTCTACGTCCACACATGGGTCCTGGCTGTGGATTTTTCTTGGTTGGGGAAGAGGAATAGGAGGAATGTCATTCCTAGTACTTGAACTCAGGGCCTAGGTGCTGTCCCTCAGCTTTATCATTCAAGCCTGGCACTCTACCAGCAGAGCTGCAACTCCCCTTCTAGCTTAATTGGAGATAAAACCACATGAACTTTCCTGCCTGGGCTGGCTTTGAGCCATGATCCTCAGATCTAAGCCTCCTAATCATTAGGATAACAGGCATGAGACAAAAACACCCAGCATAGAGATGGCTTTAGGCAAGGCAGAGAGCCGAAGCCACCGCTGTCCTTTCCCTCCTGTGCCCATGAGGGTGCTGTCTGTCCGGAGTCCCCCAGGAGCACCTGGCCCTGCCCAGGCCTTTGAAGTCGAGACAGGGATTGGAATCCAGAGGACAGAGGACTGGGCACACAGAGTGTGCAGCTCACCCCCACACGCTCGCCCTGCCGCTTCCCACTCTGGGAGAAACTGGAGCAGCCCAGCAGCTCCTCCTCCGGGTCACAGTGAGCCTCAGCAGCGTGTGTCAGCCTGAATTCCCAGGGTGCTGACCACACAGTCCTGCAGAACATCTGTCCACCTGCAACAAGAACAGGATAAAGAGGCTCTTGGAGATTCCAGAAAAAGCTTCAACCCGAGCTGAGGGAGAGAAACTAAGACACCACATGAAACTTTGAGGTAAAACTATAGAGTTACAACAATTCCGTGGAGCCTGAAGTCCTATCTGAGGAGGACAGTCCTTCTGTCAACCAGGTTGGGGACTGTCACCATCTCATGGGCCTCTCACACCCCAGGCTGGCCTCTGCCTACCCACCTGCCCTGCTCACCTGTTTTCTGGATCCTGGGGAGCAGTGCAGCCACCAGGTTGGGGGTCTTGAATCGCTCTTCCTTCGGGAACCAAGTGTCATTGATAGCATTGCTGATAGAGTAGTGGAGCAGCCTCTGCCTCAGCTCAGCCACAGTGAGGTTTGGCTGGGCAGTGAGCAACAGGGCTGCAATGCCTGATAGGGGAGGGAGAGGTCAAACAAGGTGATGGCCTCCCCTCTGTCCTAGATGGGAACTCCTTTTAGGACACAAATGCACACACACACACACACACATGATGTGCTCTTCCCAAAATGAAGCCACCTACAATCCCTTGCATAGTGAAAGCTAGAAAGTAAGACATCTTGTTCCCCTACCTCTAGGCCTTGGTATTGGCCATTGTGTTCACCAGGTGTACACCTGTTTATTTCCCCAAACCTCTGTGATGCAAAGTGCACCATCACCATCAGGTCTGCCTATTTGGTCCTCCTGCGCAGAGCCTGGCATATGGAGGATCTGGCCAAAGGGGCCACTGGAATCCTGGTGGTCAGGACAGTGGCTTGGTGACTCACCAGCCACATGGGCAGCGGCCTGCGCAGTCCCACTCTTTCTTATATAACAAATGGTACAGTCTTTGGAGGCACTGACAATGGTTTTCCCAGGAGCAAAGATGTCCACACAGGAGCCATAGTTGGTCCCCAGAGGACCCTGGGTGAAAGGCTGGTCCTGGGAATCGACAGCTCCAACAGTGATGACCTGGAATGTGGCAAACAAAGAGTTGAAAGGCTGCATGGAGCTGACTGATCAACTCCTCTACTACCAGTTTGACCCCCATGTAAATGTCTTCTCCAGAGGAATATCTGGCTCCTGGGCACAGCTGATACCCTAGCCTGCTCCAGGGCTTCCACAGGATATAGACACTACTCCCCATGCCCTGTAGAGATTGTATTTAATGGGTAGACAAATACTGAATTGACAATGCTGTTATCAAGAAGGCAGAGTGCTGTGGGGCAACCCACAATGAGCCAGGCTGAGACCACTTGGTTTTAAGTTCAGCATCTCTGGGAGCCCTATTGGGCCAGAGTCGGGGGGAGGAGGGAGAAATTCCAGGGCCCAGAAATCTGGAAAGTGGGACAAGTGTCCTCCCTGTGGTACTACCAGGCCCAGACAAGCCCCACACAGAGCAGTGGCTCTGCAAATGTCAATCAAGAGGGGAGGGAAGGCATAGCTGAAGGATTTGCAGGAGAGGAGCTTTGTGGGAGGGGTTTTGAAGGTGAGGCAGGGCTAGCCAAACCCCTTGTCACACTGGGGTTTGGGGATGCTGGGCCTCTGACAACCTGCAAGGCAGGACATGAGCAGGAAGCCCAGCAGGCACCTACCTCAGGAGACGACGCTGGAGAGTAGGCACAGGCATTGCTCTGAAAGTTGCCCGCAGCGGCCACCAGCACTGCTCCAGCCCTTGCCAGGCGCTTGCAGGCATCGTTGATGCTCTGACTGTACCCACTCACCAGGGGCAGCAGCACTACCATGCGCTTGGAGGGATTGGAGACCAGCTTTTTCCAAAGAAACTCCAAGCCTGAGAGAACAGAGATGACTGAGAACAAGATGACTGCCTGGAGAGGGACACGCTTCCTTCCTCCAACCCCTTCCCTCCAACAACAGTGATGACCCTATGTTGGGTCAAATGCATCTAAGTGCTAATACACACACACACACACACACACACACACACATACACACACACTCCGTGGCTAACATTTACATCAATTGCTCTTCGTTTTAATGACTTCTGTTAAGGTAGTAAGCCTTGCTCAATCACATGATGGTTCAGAAGGAATTCTGCCTCCATAAACCTACTGATTCAAGATTGCAGTCAGCTGCTGCAGGCATCTGTAGCCTGCCTGGCCTGTCCTGCAGATTGCAGGCTCACCAGCCAAGTAAAAAGACCACTCCTCAAAGCACCGCCCCTCTCTTTCTTTCTTTCTTCCTTCCTTTCTTTCTTTGTTTTTTTCTTTCTTTCTCTCTCTCTCTCTCTCTCACACACACACACACAGAAACACATACATACACACATGTCCCATGTGTGCACATGGAAGCCATTAATTGCGACTGCAGCTTCAAACCAGCCAATACACAGGACTTCCCTTGCTTGCCTCTCTAGATGCCTTGTTTAAAAGATGCTCACGCAACCTGTTCTTACACTTTTCCAGGAAACAGCTATTGAGGTAGAAGCCTGGCATTCTGAGAATGAAGGCAGACTTCACAAACACTCACCACACTCTAGGCCTGGTTCCAGTGTCTCGCAGAGCTCTGGATCCACAGGAACCTGAGCCTGTCCTGGCTGCCTGCTGCCAGCTGGCAACCCCATTTGTAAAACAGGCACAGGGATTCTGGGTGTCTCCAGGGTTCCAAGGGCAGCTGATTACCACGCTAGGAGGATGGGGCTCCCTCTGGCCACACAGCATGGCCTAGATACCTGGGTTCTAATCCCCCCTCCACCTTAGAAACCTGCTGCAAACAACCCCATAGGCTTAGCTCCTGCTGTCACGTGGTGTAACTGGACATACCCGTCGGCCACTCCTGGATCTAGGCCTCTGTGGCCAAGGGAGGAGTTGGAATCTTACTGCCACATGCCTAGAGGACAGCTGCTGAGGAGGGAGGGGGAGTGGGCATGGCAGTGGGGGTGACAAGCGCAGTCACAGCTGTAGTTATTAGACCGCTGCTGTGTGCAAAGCTCTGTGCTCAGTCACACCTCATTTCAGTCACTGTGCACAGAGGAACTGCTGATTGCGGTGGAGGTGACAGCTCCTCTGTGTGAGCCCGGCTCTGGCCCAGTGATGCCATGACTGAGACTCCAAAGAGGGGCTGCTCTTCCCTGGGCCAGGCCCAGCATCAAAGCCTTCCCTCCACTCATCACCTTTGGGAAGCAAAGGTCAAGGCCAAGGTCAATCAGCAGAGGCATGAGACAGGCACAGGGGTCACTGGGATGAGCCAGGGACTCTTGATCCCTGCCTGCAATGGAACACAAAGCTGGAGCCTCTGTGAATAAGATTTGGGGCAGTGTGTACCTCTGGACTCCATGCAGTTGAGCATCTGACTAGGGGCCTGGGCTCTTGGGGAAGGTCAGTCAGCCTCCACCCAGTATCTTCTCTGTGAGCCAGTTTCTTCTCTGTGAGCCTGGACAAGTCGCCCTCTCTAGCTGGCTTCACTAACTGTTAATGGATGTCACCTGCCAGCCCCAGGTGTGGCGTCCAGAGCCCTTGGCTCAGCCATTGGCCACCGCAGCTCTGTGCAGAGCTCCCTCCCTGTTCCCTGTCCATGGCCACAACAGGCCTGGCTCTCAGCAGGACCTCTCAGACCCGGGCCCCACCTCTCCTCTCCATGCAGTGGATGAAGAAACCTGGGACAGTCTGGACAAGGGGTTGCCATTCCTCCACCAAGTCTGCTCAGCCAAGGTGACATATGGAGACAAACTAGGGAGAAATGAGCCCCACCATGCTTGGAGGGGAAACTGGCTTCCTTTCTGTCTCCTCAGGGTCTGTGGAGATCTAAGCCCACATGACAAATGACACAGAATTCTGAAAGCACAGAGCACACGGAATGGAGAAGGAGCATGGAACAGGGGCTCACTTGGGCTGGGTCTCTGCTCCCTTGAGCCCTCAGTCTCTCCACCTGCACTGGCAACCTTGAGGGTTCTGCTGCTCCTCCACTGGTACTCTGTGGCAGAGGCTACCATGCCCTCTTGGGTCTGGAGTCATTGCTCCTCCCTGGCTGAAGCCCCTGCCCCCATGGCCAGATGGAAAGACAACAGAATGGGAGCTGCCACTCACCCATGAGGATGCCGCTGACCGTGCCCTTCCCTTGGCAGTTGAGCACACGCAGGCTGTGTATCTTGATGTCCTTGGCCACGCCAACACTCTGGCCGCTGACCAGAGCTGCCAGGTGGGTGCCATGGCTTTCGCAATTGCCCTCCTGCTCCACCAACACAAGGACCAGATGAGAAAACCACCCGCCCCACAATTTCCCAATAAATCCTAGATCGACTTCAATGCCCACCCTCCCTGCCTACAGCTGAGGACTGGGGATGGATGGTGATGGCTGGGGAGGGTGGCCATGGTGCTCCAGGTCTGGTGGTCCTCATCTTCCTCTGGGATGGGCTGGGGAAGGATGGCTCACCTGTGACCTGGGCGCACTGGTGCTCTGCCACTCCTCTTCAGGCACTCTCTCAAAGTTAGAGATGATGATCCTGTCCTTGATTTCCCGGTGACTAGGCCGGATGCCAGTGCCCAAGAAATACACTTCCACAGGGTTGTCCCTGTCTTCCCACAGTGACGTTTATGCGAGATGAGAAAAAGGAGAATCAGGAGGGTGATGTTACAGGTGGTCATGTGTATCAATGATGGCATGCTCTGCTTACCAGTTATGCACACTGTTTCAAGGACTGTATATGAACTTAATCTAAAAGTCCTCCCAAGCTACTTCCTCTTGGGACTATTTTACTGGCCACGCCAGTAAGACTTAGAAATAGGGAACTTTCCAAAGCCAGGTAGCTGGCCAATGAGAGAGAATCAGGAAACTCCCCAATAGCATGCTACCTGTTATTGGGTCTTGTTACCAAATCAAATGACCCAGAGCTCTGTCATTGGCTGGGAGCAACCCAGGTGGCAGGGCCTCAGTGACCTGCTCCTACTACTGGTTCTCTTGAGACAGGATTACAGCGACACCAGCTCTCTGGTTGTCCTGCTGACCAACTTGAACTACAGTTCGTGAAACCAGAAATTCAAGATAAAATGATCTCAGCTATGCCACACTTCCCCTGAAGGTTCTGGATAACAAGCCTCGTTGGCCTTGTCCTCCTTTTTCTGGTGGTTTCTGGCTTTCTGTGATTTAGAGCCACCTCACTCCAAGTTCTACCCATCTCCACAGAACCTCCTCCTCTAATCTCCATTCTCTTACAAGGTTTAGGTTTGAGGATAACAAACAGGCTTGTTCACCTGTGCTCTTGGTTTCTCTATTAATGAAGGACAGCATTGATACTCCCAGCCTACATTATAGCTGACTGTATGGTACTTCCCCTATCCTGTCCCAGCCCAACAGCTTCTAAATGGCTTCTTCTAGCCAAGCCCTTGAGAAGACTCTAGCCCTGTCCCCCACTCCTCCAGGGAGAGACAAGTTCATCATGAGCATCCCTAGGGGACATGAAACAGACTGTGTCTACCCCAAACCTGCAGGAGAGGTGGTCACTAGTGGCCCCAGAACAGATCCTTTTAGACCAATCTGGAGTCTAGAGGTGTAGCTCAGTGGTAACCTCATAAATGTGAAGCCCTGGATTCCAATTCCAGTACCACCACCAGACCTTATCTGGATAAGAGATCTTTCCAGTGAAAGATCATCCAGGATGAACCAGTGGCCCTAAATTCAATTCAAGGTGGACTTACACAAGAAGGAAGGGAAGGCTCGGCATAGTGGCTCACATCAATAATACCTGCTATCTGTGAGTCAGAGACCAGTGCATCCAGGTACAAGGCCACCCCAGGCAAACAGTTCACAAGACCTCATCTCAACCAATAGCTAGCAGTTACTCAGCAACCAAACCAAGGAGGATTGTGGCATAGGTCTCATAAACATAAACATGTTTATGACACATAAATATGTGAACTTATCTGAAAAGTTTCTAAAGTATAAATGACTCAACTGGTAAAGGACCTGCCTACCAAGCATGAGGCAAACTCCAAGACTGTAAAGGAGAAAAAAAATAAATAAAGTTGGGCATCAGTGTCTCAAGCCTCTTATCTACTTGGAAAGGTGAGATCTAGGACATTAAAGGTGTGAAGCCAGCCTGGGCAGAGACGTCCTCTAGACTCCATCTCTGATTATCTAGCAAAGTCGTTTCCAGGAATCTGTGTCAGGCTTGCCTAACACTACAGGGTCCAGTCAGAACCTCTGATCCTCTCCCAGGTAGGTGCCCTTACTGCCTTCCCTAGCTAAGTGTCACTGAGATGCCCCACCAGACAGGTATTTTCCTGGTCTCCTCTTCTGCCTCCATCTGCTCAGGAAGAGGGAAATGTGAGCAGAGAGACTTGGAGACTGGGGGAGACCAGAGACCTAGATGGGGAAAGCTCTGGAAATCTGGTCTTGTTTTGAAGACTGAGAGTTAGAGAGGCCAGAGACTGCAAGTCACAGTCAAGTCCAGCCTCCTCCTCTGGCAAGAGTGGCCTGCAGGAGAGAAGATGAAAAAAGGAATTATGAAGGTGGTTATTCATCTACCAGTGGCCCAGGCCTTGTAATCCTAGCTACTCAGGAAGCTGAGATCTGAGGGTGGCAGTTTAAAACCCAGCCTGGGCAGAAAAGTCTGTGAGGTTCATATCTCCAATTAACCAGCAAAAAGCTGGAAGTAGAGGTGTGACTCAAGTTGTAGAGCACTACCTTTGATCAGAAAAACGAAGGGACACCACCCCAGCCCTGAGTTCAAGGCCCCAAATTTTACAAAATTCAGGTACAATAAGAATCTGAGGTAAATGTCTCTGTATTGTGCACTGAGTACCAGCAGGGGGCGCAGTCCAAAGAGGGTGAGGAGAGGACAGAGAGAAAACAGGCAGGGGCCAGGAGCCAGGACATGGAGGAGATGTGGGCCATGGCAGCTGTGGTCTTACTGCTGTGGTTGAAGCTATGAGACTGGTTCCGCTCAGGAGAAATCCGCCGCAGGTTCCACATGCCGCCCCAAAACTGGTTCCACAGAGGACAAATCAGATGTGGACTCCATAGGATGCTCTGCGCAAAGGCAAAGGAATCCTCCTCGATGAACTTCACCTGCCTCAGCCTCGGGACCTGCGGATGCCAAGGACATAGGATCTCAATTTCATGAGTCACTTGGGCCACAGTACCCAGCACTTGCCCCACCTGATCCCACCAGTGCCCACCATATCCCAAAGGCCTCCATGGACCAGAAAACAAAGCCAGAGTCCTCATTCCTCTGTTAGACTTGGAGGAGGTAGTGGGGAGAGCTGAGAATGGTGTTCCCACAACTTGTAGCTGAGCCCACGTGAGTGGCAGGAGGGATTCAGCTTCCACATCTTATCTGGGAGCCAGGCAGTGCCAGTTCTAGGCAGGCTGGACAGTGGGGGAAGTCCCTTGGGCCAGGACTCCATGTGCACATCAGGATGTCAGCACTGGCCATCCTGTGTGTCCACTCCCTTTTCTCATCTTTTCAATCTTCAGACCACAGTGCTTTGAACCCTGGTGGTGGCTTCTGGGTGCTGAGCCAATGTGGGGTGGGGTTGTGGGGGGCGGAGAGAAGGGGAAAGGCACCAGCAGGAATTGGGGGAAAAGTGTGTATGCTCAGACCTCTCCCTGGCCTGGAGCATACCCCACTTGCACAACATCCTGGGCTGTCCCTGACCTTTCTCTCACCAGGCTGCAATGTACCCGCACAAGGACACTGGCCAGCTGGGCCAGCAGCTGGGAATCCAGCTCCCCCATGTGGGGCTGTGTGGTCCCTCTGCACTGGGATCCCTCCTGCTTCTGGCCAGGCTAACAAGGAAGCTACCTGAGGAGGCTGGCATCACTGAGCCGCAGTACTCAGTACTGAGTACTCAGTACTCTGCTGTCCCCTGAGTGTGTCAACCAGGAGGCATACACAGGCCTCTCCCTAGCCTACGGAAGCACATGCCTGAGCGGGGAATCACCAGGACCAGTGCACTCACTTTGGCAGATTTCATCAGGATGCCAGGAAAGAGGTCTTTGAAGACGTGCAGCACTTCGAACATGAAGCCCCAGCTGGCAGACTGGCTCTGCAGGTGTTGGACAATACTCTCCATCTGCTGCCTCTGGGATTCCTTAAACACCACTAGGTAGGTGTTGGGCACCTTCCAGGACCTCTGGCCCCAAGGGAGCAAAAGGAGCATGAAGACATCAAAAGAAAGATCCCATCCTTATCTACAGATCAACTTAGAACCAAAGAGACCCAGGACATAGAGAGACTACAGATACCAGCTGACTCAGTGAGACTTAAACCTCCCCACAACACACACAAAGCCCCACTGACATCACCCACAAACAGATCCACACACTTATAAACAAGGCATCCATTTCCTAGGGAAACTGTAGGTCACCCTCAGCAACAGGTCCCTGGGGGAGCACACAGATGTGCTCTCCAAGCCCTAGACAGATCTGGTCACCCCTGCAGCTTTGTCTAAAAGCCATCGCTCCTAGTCAACCCAGTGTCCCAACCTCCTTCCCAGTCTAACACATCTCCATTTCTCCCCACCAGAAGCAGCCCAAGAAGCCTCACACACTTCAGAGCCAGGAAAATATGGATCTGAGCCCTACCACGCCCAACAGTTATTGGCCAGGAGCAAGCCACTTAACCATCCTGTGCCTCAGAGTCTCTGTATTCCAGAGACTGCACTACCCACATCACACCAAGTCCAGGGAATCAGAGCACGGCCGCTTCCACAGGGAGAGAAGAGGCTCTGTGGGCCGTGGTTTCTCCTTACTGTAATGGAAGGATAGGTTGAAAATGATTTTCCACTTGTAAAACACAAAGAAATCTTCATTCTGGGCCAGTGTGGCCTCTCTATGAGTGAAGGGACTGCTGTGTACCGTCCACATGGTACCTGCTCTACCCTGTCCCAGTCAAACAGCTCCTAATGGGCCCATCTCAGCCAATAGCTAGACATGGTAGTGGGCACCTACCATCCCAGCTCCATTGACCTTAAAGAAAAAATAGCCAGAACAAGATTGAGGCAGTAGATTGGATCCAAGTATGTTGTATGCATATATGTAAATACCACAATGAAACCCCTTTAGACAACTCATGTGTGCTAATAAGAAATTGAGAGCACCAAGGGGCTGGAGGGATGCTCAAGTGGTGGATGCTGCCTAGCAAGGGCGATGCCCTCAGTTCCAATCCCAACACACTTCACACATGCATTCTAAATCTGACTCCATCAAAATGCTCATGGGATGAATATGTGGACCTGAGGAACTTCCTGGAACAAACTCCCACCAGGGAGTTTGCTTGGTCCAGGTGGCTGTCTAGCAACCTGGGAGGTGGAGCAGGCAGGGGATGAGCAGTGATGGCTAGAAATGCCCTCTTTTGATCCATTTACAGCCTGCCTTTGAAGCCAGGCTGGCCTCAAACTCACAGTCCTCCTACCTCAGCCTTCCCAATGTTGCGATTACAGGTGTGCACCCCACTCTGAGATCAAGGTTTATTATCTTCACCACAGACCCACAAAATCCCTGGAGAAGGTGAAAAAACACTCAGGAATTTGAGGAAAAGTTCTAATGAGAAGAAGGGCCTGGCAGCTTGTGGCCCAATACATGGGGTCAGCAGACCTTTCCCATCCCAGAAGGGGAGTAAGGCAGGTTTGTCTAGGAGGAGACAGCAGCTGCCTGCCTGTGACAGCCCATCTCTCTGGGGTCTCACAAGCTATGATCCCCTTCATCACCCTAGGGGAAGAACCATCAGGCCTCTTTTCCTGCAGGCTCCAGGTTGAGAGAACACTAGGATTCACTCTCTTATTGGATCTCACATCCAAGGGACAGAGCCTCAGCCCCACTCCCAAACCACCTCCCCAAGGTGCCGTCCATCCCATCCCAGAGCTTTCCACAGCCCAGGGCACATGCAAGTGCTCCCGTGTGTGAAGAGATTCCAAGGAGCCCCACCTGGGTGTAAGGGGTAAGGTGGTAGGGCACAGGGCCCAGCCTCTCAGATCTTGGCTACCAGTGAGGCCAGATTGTGACCCCACCCTCAACCCAGCGACCCTGATTCCCCTAATCCTCGCCCCCATGGGCCTTCAGTTAATTCCACCCCATCCCCTTTAGTTTGTGCCTTTCTTCAGCAGGATAAGACTCAGCCATAGCTAAGGTAGGGTGCCAGGGCATGAAGAACTCACTTGCCTCACTCCGCCAGGTCCTACACCCCTGCTCTCCCACCCATGCTCTCTCCAAGACCCCCAGCTCGTACCAGGCCCTGTGCAGACTCCTCCCAGCACCAGGCTGGATGCACTGTTATGTGCCTGCATGTGCCACGCCCACTGTTGCCAGCCTGATGCCGGAGCGACATCCAGTGCCACCCCAGCCACTGCAGGGCCTCAGCCAGACCCCAGGTAGGCGGTGAAAGTGCACGGCAAGTTCTCACCCCCACCCCAGCCACTCCCTCGACCTTCTGCCTCCTGACACAGCCACGCACTGCCATAAGACCCTGCAGCTCCGGTTTTCCTAGCTCCCTACCCCGGTGACTATGGTCCCCAGACCGCACTAAACCGGTGGGCAGAAGGCTTTCTGGGATCTCCACTTCAGACCTTCCCTTATATCAGGGAAATTGAGGCCGGAGAAGAAGTGGCATCCACAGTGTTCCTCACCCCCATCTCACCCGCACCTCAGAGCTGCGGTACATGATGGTTATGGGCCTGTCCTGGAACTCCGATGGCAGGGAGAGCCCTAAGCCCTCCCTGTCTCCGTCCAGCTTCTCTTGGGCTCCGGTCCTCGCGAGACTCAGCAGCAGCAGCAGAAGCAGGGGTGGCAGTGGGCACTGCAAGCACCCAGAGCCATCGGTGCCCATGGGGTAGGAGGAGAGATTTGAGCCCTGACGCTGACAATGACACCCAGGACCCACAAGGACCAAGCATGCGGCCACACAGGGCAGCCAGGCTGTCTGGCTCACTGAGTGGCACCTGCCTGCAGCCCAGTGCCTCCAAGTTGGGTGAACCTAGGGTTCAGAGTGCTGTACATCCAAACCCAGGATGGTCCCACCTGACTAAATACTAATGGAGCACACACCCAGGCCTGGAGCATCTGGTTTCAGTCTCATCCTGCCCGCCAAACAATGTCAGACTGCCCTGCCTCCAATCCTAGTTAGGCTGGGATGCCAGTTCTGCCCTCAGTTCTCCACCTTTTACCCTGAGGTGTCACCCAGCCCCTCCCACCACTCCCTCAGGGCTCCCCTCCACTCTGATGGTGACTCCATTCAATCTGATGGCAGAGTCCTCACTTCCCACCCGCCTCCTCCCACCACCTAACTTAGCATCCTAAACTTAGCCTGGATGCCTTCCTTCTGCACCCTGCACCCCATCCCCACGTAGGCCTCCCTGAAGAGGCATAGCCTGGGTTCTCAGTTCCAGTCTACAGGAGCTGGATCTTAGAATCTGGGAAAATGCCACAGAGATGCAGTCACATCTCAGTGTTGCAAGCGACTAAGTTTGTAACGATTTCTTTCAGGCACATGTCCAAGAACCCAAAGGGACAAGCATCCAGAAAGCACCTACTATGTTCCAGGCAGAAGGATGAAAGGGGAGACCAGCAGCCCAGCCCATGGGGGCCCTCCCCAGTGGCTTTAGCATGATTGGCAGACAGCAGAAGATTCTCAGGCCCAACACAGCCTGGGCAGCACCTGCTCCAGCCTTCCCTCCAAAGTCCACAGGAAGTTAGTAAGAGCATGGTGGTAAGAGAGGCAAAGCACACAGCAAAGGCAGGTTAGGTGTGGTGGGAGCCCAGACAGAGGGCAGTGCATCCCAGCAGCCTTCCTGGAGGAGGCAGCTCAACATTGTGGTCCAGCTGTAACAGGCAGAACATCCACTTGGAGATGTTGGAATGGGATGTGCAGGGCTGATTTTAATGTGTGAGGCCAAGACAAGACAAAACAGTGTACTTCCTGAGGGTAGGGAGATTCTGGAAGCTTTCTAACAGAAGAGAGACTTGACTAGCTTTCTGCTATACATACTCATTCACACTCATGCATGAACTTCTCTAAGCTCAGCATAGTTTGGGGGCCTCTACCTGTTTCTGTCCTCCCACTCTTGATCCTAGAAGCTTCTTGCAGACACTTGTGGGGAGAAGATGGAGCCAGGGTCTCTACTTCCCCTTTCCTGCTCACATCTGAGCCTAAATTAAAATGACTGCAACAGCCACAGCATGAGTCATGGACACTAGGCAGCAGCAGGGGGCAAGATAGGTAGGGTCTCCTCCCCAGGCAGCCACCAATCCTGAGGAGAGAACTGGCTTAGAAACACTGGGAGTGGGCTGGCCCAGGGACCACCAGCTGAGCCACCTCTTCCTGCTGTCACAAGATCAAGGTTAGCCCACACCTGAGAGACCACAGCACCAGCACCAGCCAGAAGCACAGCTCCCACCTGGACAGCCTGGGTGTCTAGAATAGGTCCAGGCTGTGCATTTCATAAGCTCCCTGGGAAACATGGATGCAGCCCAAGATAAGGGCACCACAGAGTCGTGCACTGATGAAGCCTCTCTGTCTGACTGGCCCAAGCCGGCCATGTCTACTGTGCAGCCACCAGGCATATCTGTGTTTATGCTTTGCTGGTCCCTCCTCCTCGTATTCTTCATTTCCAATGAGTTTTACATGTCCTTTGGGACTGCAAGGTCACTTCCTCCAGACAGCCCTCTCTAGACACTTCCTCAGGACATAGACATGTCTGTAGTCCCTTCCCCCCCCCCATCTTCACTCCCCTCCATGCCGCTGTGGACAGGATGGTTTCCCACGGCCATTAACAAGGCCTCTGTGCTGGGGAGAGATGACAGCTAGATGAGGAAGAGGGCTGTGGAGGCAGCATAGACAGGCCTTGGCACCAGTGGTACAGGACCACAGCTGGGACCCAGAGCTGAGTTTGAGTCCTGGCTCTACAACTAAACTCACAGTGAATGTGTCCTGGCTACAATGTTCTACCCAGTCTCAGTTTACTTACTGGCAAAGTAGCCACACTAGTTCCAATATTATTAAGGACAGGTGAAGCCAAGTGAAATGGTAGCTTTGGCAAAGCTTCTGATCCATGGCACAAAGCACAGGGAGGAGGTACGTGAAAAAATGAGGGGGTGGTGCACGGTCAGCAGCCCCCCGCCATGCAAACACCCAACTGTGTCACCCAGACTGGTGATCTGGATCCAAACTCCCCAAGGGCATGTTCCAGGTTGGCATTAGTGCTGGGTGGGTGGGAGTAGCAGGAAGAATGTGCCAGTCCAGGGCCCAGCTCTCGCCCCAGGCTAGGATATTTCCATCTCCTCCTCCCCTCAATCCCCGTGCAGGGTGATGGCGGCCCAGGGAAGGGCACCTGGGGGATGGGCAGCAGCTGTGCGGTGCAGCGCTGTGACCAGAGGTGTCACCCCATGAGCCAGCAGCCTGGCTCTTTTTTGAGGTTGACCCCAGCGGTGAGGACCCTACCAGGCAGCAAAATCATAGATGTCCCTGAAGACATGGAGTGGCAATGGCGGGTACCTCATTGTACAGATGAGAAAGCCAGGATTTGGGGTTCTGAGTGTGAATGTGAAGACAGAGGGGAAGAAGAAGGGGAAAGAGAGAAGAGAATTGCAGAGGGCGTCCCTCTGGCACCAGGCCATCTAGGCTGGCCTGCCCCACTCTAAAGGACAAGCAGAGTTCTGAAGAGGAGGGCAGGGGAGCATGGCCCCCTCCCGATTCCATCCCTGGACTCTGGCTCCCAAGCACCTCTGGTCATTCGTGCTTGTCCCTGGCCCCCACTTCTCCTCCTGCTTCCTGTCTGAGGATGCCAGCCCAGGGTGGGGATCAGTGGGCTGGGGGCCCAGTGGTGAATGGCTACTTGTGCTACAGCAGATGGAGCTGTCACAGTGGCCTTGCACATTGGCTGCGGAGAGATCAGAGGCCTTGCCGGGGGATTTCCCTTCCTGCCTTACTGGCATTTCTTCTCCTTTCCCCAGGGTCATGTTTGCAGAGACCACGGGTTTGTTGTAGAAGAGACTGAAGGCCACTTCCTGTACACCTGTGTTTACAGCACTACAAGTAGAGTCCGCCCATCAGCCCCCATGTGCAGACCCAGGGCTGTTGCTGCTTTGTAGAGAAGCTGCTTGGCAGGCTGGTCTTTCTGAGAAGCGGGGACGGACATGTCTTAGTGGGAGGGAGGGACACCTCCATTCCTCCCAGAGCCCCAAGTTCCACCTGGGACCACCGTGCCTGCCCTCCCGAGTTTGGACTGGCACAGTGCTGGAGGAGCACCCTTACCATCAAGTCACGTGCTTCACGCTGGTCTCCATGACATCACAGGAGGCCAGGAGTGAACTGCTTCCTGGGGACCTAACGTTATGTTTATTTCTGTCAAATAGAACTACTACCATTATCTGAATGCAAAGTATTATTTTATAGCCATGTGCCAGGGGCTCACACCTGTAATCCTAGCTACTCAGGAGGCTGAGATCTGAGGCTTGCAGTTCAAAGCCAGCCCTGGCAGGAAAGTCTGTGAGACTCTTATCTCCAATAAACTACCAGAAAACCCAAAGTAGTGCTGTGGCTCAAGTGGTAGAGTGCTAGCCTTGAGCTGATGAGCTGAGGGACAGCGCCCAGGCCAAGAGTTCCAGCCCCACAACCAACCAAAAAAAAAAAAAAAGTATTATTTTGTGATCATGATTTACATGTTATACTGTTTGCATGGGATACTATGAAGGAGACTCCCACCACCCAGGCATAATCTTTCTAATTCTTTTCCTGATCCCTTCTGTGATACAGATACTTATAGGACTCTACTCTATGTCTGTTTGGAGTGTGTTCAGCTGCAAGTGCTGTAGCCTGAACCACGTAGGTAGAATACCTGAGGTTTCTGACTGGATCAGTGATTCAACAACGTTAGATCTAGCATTGCTGGGATTCTTTTGCAATTTCCCTCAAGTTACAATATGGCTTCTGTAGCTAATGACATCACATCTGTTTTCAAGAGTCCTAAAGGCAATCACATCTATGTTTTTATTAGGAATCAAACCATTTTTCAATAATAAACACCGATATATTTCTTTTGAACACTCATTTGCCAAAACTAGATCTTAAGGCTATCTCTAAAGCAGGGACAAAAACAGAATTTTCATGATTAGCTATAGCTTAGACCTAATTTATCACCTGAACAGTAAGCACATGGTCTCCCCCACACAAAATTTAAAAAAAGAGAGAATTAGCAGTATCTGGACACTGGCTTTCATAATATTCTTTCCCTAGTTATATATTACTAAATTTGCCTACATCAAGAAATTTTAGACTCATCATTCGCTTCACAAGGATTTACTGAGCGCATTCTGCATTGGACACTTAACTAGGCACAAGTCCTTGTCTCTAAAGAGTTTACTTAGTATCTGAAACAGAAATTCATCAAGGAAACTCAGAAAGAACCTATTAAGAGCTGGGAGTATGGCTTAGTGGCAGAGGGCTTACTTAGCATACATGGAGCCCTGGGTTTGATTCCCAGTACCATATGAACAGAAAAAAACAGAAGTGACACTGTGGCTCAAGTGGTAAAGTGCTAGACTTGAGCAAAAGAAGCTCATGGACAGTGCCCAGGCCCTGAGTTCAAGCCCCAGGACTGGAAAACAAAAAAGAACCATATTAATACAATTCTACTCCAAGCTCAATAGAGTGAGCAAGTGTGGGGGAGGACTCGGTTCACCCAGGAGGAGGACAATTGGATGGTGGTATGCCCTCCCCCTGCAGAGCAAGGGTGCAATTACGTAGTCAATCTCCTATCTCTGGATATTATCAGTGCCCAGACAGCACCCTTCTGTAAGTGCATCTTGGCACATATGTAAGACCACCTCCTTTGCATAAATTCCAGGGTAGCTTAGCCACTCCTATATGTGGAACTGTGACTGAACGGGAAGCTCCTGGCTTAGGCAGGACCACACTGCTGGGGTGCTCCAGTGTCCACCAAGAGACCTTCCAACAGGGAAGCCAGGGCCCCCTTCCTTACTCCCCCATCTGTTTCCAGCATGGCCCCTCTTCAGCCTTGGCTACTATTTGTCCTTGTGTTATTGGGGAAGTTTGTTGCTGTTTGTGCTTGCATTCCTGTTTCTGAGGTGGATGCTGTTTCTATTTGCTTCAATAGGTCTTTCCTTTCTAGTCCTGTCTGCTGTCTGGTATTTGTGTGTGTGTGTGTGTGTGTGTGTGTGTGTGTGTGTGTGTATTGGGGTAGCTTTTTTACCTAAGGCTGGTGCTCTACCACATGAGCTACACTTCCACTTCCTCGTGTCTGATTCTTGGCGCTGTCTCATCATAGCCTCTGTTTCATGTATTATAAAGCCTCCTTTTTTTTAGAAACTAGAATTGTGCCCTGGTCCACTCAGCCCACTGGGGTCATCCCTGAGCCCCAGAGCAGCATTCAGAGTCCCTCCTTCTTCCCCTCCCTCCACCCAGTGCTCTACTCCCCTCTGTTGGCAGAGGTCCTCACTTATGGAGGTGGGCAGCGGTTCACCTTTTCTGTTCCTTGGGCCCACTCCCCAGGCAGGTGGCATCCTCCAGAGCCTCCTGGGCTCAGCCCTGACCCCAGGGCCTCCAGGGGATGGAGAATTCCAGTCAAGGATAGGTCACAGGGGTCACTGACCAAGCAGAGCCTTAGGAAATCTTTGGGAGCTAGAACAATGGAAGGAACAGACAGTGGATGAAATCTGCCTCTTCCCAACCCTGCTAGCGGGGGTGATCCTTGCCACCCATTTGCCTCTGCCCCAGGCTACCCTGCTTTGGGTGACAGGGAGGATGCTCAGGTAGCTGGGAACACTTTCAAAGTCATTGTGGAGCCTGTTACCCACCCCAGGGCTTCCCATTTCCAGGCCATTTGGCCCTCACTGCTGCCTGGGTTGGGTTTGAACTTGGCATTTTGGGGCTACCTGGCAGAGTCTCATGACAGCTGCTCAACAGGGTCCACCAAACCACATTTGGCAACTCCATGCATGGATGCTGACTTGAGGCCCTGCAGTTCCTAGGCTCTGGGTTTGATCCATACAGCTTCAGCTCAGCAATCATGAGTATAATGGCAACTGTAGGTCACTGGGACTGGCTGGACACTGTCTTCAAGCTGTACACTCAACACATACATCCTGTCTGATCTTCACAATATGAACATGTTATAGACATAAATTCTTATCCACTTTATGGCTAAAAAAATCCAAGCCAAACATAGTGGCTCAAGCTTGTAATCCTATCAACTTGGGAGGGAAAAATGGAGCAATCACACACCATTTTAACCCAGTCCAGGCATGAAAGTTAATTATGTCTCCCTTTTTTTTTGTTTTGTTTTTTGCCGGTCGGGGGGCCTGAACTCTGGGCCTGGGCACCGTCCCTCAGCTCTTCAGCTAAAGGCTAGTGCTCTACCACTTGAGCCACAGCACCACTTCCAGCTTTTTCTGCTTATATGGTACTGAAGAATCGAACCCAGGGCCTCATGCATGCAAGGCAAGCACTCTACCACTGAGCCACCTTCCCAGCCCTTATGATTCCCTTTTAACCATTATCTGGGTATGGTGGTGAATTTCTGTTATTCCAGCTAAGGCAGGGAACAAAAGGACAAGTGTGATTGAACATTTACCATTCCCTAGGCACAAGTAGAATAGCAGCTCAGGTGATCCATGCATCATCTCAAATATAACTAGGACGAAAGGAGCTGGGAGAATATCTCAAGTGGTAGAGAGTCTGTCTTGCTAGTACTGAGTCCAGTCCTTAATACTACCCAAAATTTATTAACTTATTAATTTAAGGAAGGGACAGAAAAATTAAGTCTCCTGGCCACAGGCACAGAAGTGGCCAGGATTGACACCCCATCCTGAACCCAGGGCTGGTTTTCCAAAGCCAGCTCCTGTTCCCTGGACTGTGGGGCCCTGTACCTAGGCCCACCATCTGCAGAGTGTGCAGATGGTGTGATTCCAGCACAGACAGCTTCCTGTTGTTTCCAAGTCCTGGGATAGAAGGGAGCCCACAGAGACCAGTCCTCCATACACCCACAGCCCAGGAAGAAGGCTTGGAGCAGTCCACACAGTGAGAAGGACTGGAAGACAAGTGGACTGGCATGAATCCTGCCCGGGAGGGGAGAGTGGAGCCAGTCCAAGCCCTAGGGAGTGGGGAGAATTTGAGCCAGGCCTTGAGGGATGGAATGGCAGCGGTGAAGGGCATCGAGGCGGAGGGGACAACTGAGCAGAGGCAGGGCAGCATGAAGGTTGGGGCTCCAGCCATGATGCCGGGAAGTAGCGGGTGAGTCAACCATGGCAACCATGGTTGAGTACAGGCAAAGGGCAGAGGGATTGGGGCCAGGATAAGGACCTAACCCTGACCCCTTCCTAGCTTTGCCAGTGATGGCATAGTCACATCAAGGAGGCTGGGTTACAGGGTTCTCTCCCTTCCTGACTGCTTCCCTTCTAAGCAAATCCTGGCTTCTATAACCTGTCTTCAATCCCTGACATGAGCCAAAATCCCACCAAGCACCATCCCAAGTGCATTTTACCCTGCTGAGAGTTGCGGTGTGCATCCATGACTAAGTGGAGATATGGACAGAAACAGTGGGGCCTGCCCCCACCTCATACACAGCAGGGTAGAGGGTCTCCTGAGGCAGCTTAAGTGTTTCTCTAACAGCAGGCCTGGCACAGACTCTGTTCTCTGTGTCTGACATCCCTGCCTATGGCTCCAAAGGTAGCTGTCCTACACTCACACCACACACTGTCATAGTATCATTCCATTGTACTGCTATACCACACCCCATCATACGACACACTATCAAAGCATACACCATCACACACCACACCGTCATACCATACAATGTCATACTGCGTACTGTCACACCCCACACCATCACACCACATGCTACCACACCATGCTCTCTCACACCATCATCACACCTTACACCATCGCAGGACACACCATCCGCTGTCTCACCACACACCACCGCACTGTCACACAGCTGTGTGGCTGTGGCCGCTGCCCCACAGGCACGCCGCTCACTCACCCTGCCCTGAGAGCATGGGTGTTTCACAGAGGTTAATTTGCAGGTAAATAAAGGCGACTCTTTTCCTGTTGACAGGGATTTTATTTCAGGCCTTGGTGCGGGCCTTCTCTGATGGGGTCACAGGTGCCCCACCTGGGCCAGCAGAGCACAGGAACAGGCTGCACCTCCCCTCACCATGACCTGGGCACGAACAGGGACGCCCACCCTGGGTCTCATCAGTACAGAGGAGGAACTGAGTATGGCCACTGCAGAGGTAGAAATGGCCCGGGGAGGGGAGGGTGTGATCTAGGGGGAACAGGCCCTTTTGGATACATTACAGGGCATCTCCCTCCCTTGGTGGGCCCCCCCTCCATGCAGAGGCCCAGCCCAGGTAAAGGGCTCCACTCTGAGGCAGCCAGGGCAGAATGCTGAGTGTGCAGACCTGCTATGGGTCAGCAGCACCAGGCCCAGCTCAGGGCTGGCTGTCCAGGGCTTTGCCCAGCTCCACAGGAAGCAGGGGAACTGGAAGGCCATGGACAGTGACAGCAAGACCTGCACCAGCTGCTCAGGCTCTTTGTCCCCTCACTGGCCCCAGGCATACGTGGTTGTCACTCTGTTCCCCTGGAGTGTCAGCCCTTTTCTTCCCATCTCTGCTTCTGCTCTGCAAGGTCCCTGGGTGGTGAGTCCTTTAGGCTCCATGGCTACATGGAGAATTCATGTCTCTTTCCTCCTACAGTCCCCAGCTGAGTACCTGGGACATGGCAGATGCTCAGCAAATGCCCTTTGAAACAAACAGAATCAGGCTGGTCAGCTTAATTTCCTGCTCCTAGGCCAGCCAGTGGTCTCAGGGGAGCTGTGATGTTGTCCTGGAGCCTTCTTGCCTGGCTTTGAGATATCTGTGGATCACCAAGAAATGTTAACATTCAGTCAAGTTCTGGTGGCTCAGGCATGTAATCGTAACTACTTAGAAGGTTGACATCTGAGGATCGAGGTTCAAAACCAGTCTGGGAACACAAATCCATGAGACTCTTATCTCCAATTAACCAGAAAAATACTAGTGTGGAGGTGTGCCTCAAGTAGTAGCTGTGACTGAAAAATCCAAATGAGAGCACAAGATTCTGAAATCAATCTCTGGTACCAGCAAATAAAGAAGAAAGATGGATAGAAGGAACGAAGGAAGGAAGGAGGGAAAGAAGGAGGGAAGGAAGGGAGGAAGGAAGGAAGGAAGAAAGGGAGGGAGGGAGGGAGGAAAATGTGAGCACGGTGCTAGCAGCTCATACCTATAATCTCTAGAAACTCAGGAGACTGAGATCTGAGGATCCTAGTTCAAATCCAGCCCAGGTAGGAAAGTCCATGAGGAGGGGCTGGGAAGGTGGCTCAGTGGTAGAGTGCTTGCCTTGCATGCTGAGGCCCTGGGTTCAATTCCTCAGCACCACATAAGCAAAAAGAAAAAAGCCAGAAGTGGCGCTGTGGCTCAAGTGGTAGAGCGCTAGCCTTGAGCTGAAGAGCTGAGGGACAGCGCCCAGGCCCAAAGTTCAGGCCCCACAACAGGACCAAAAAAAAAAAAAGAAAGTCCATAAGGCTCTTATCTCCAATTAACCACCAGAAAACTTCAAGTGGAGTTGTGGCTCAAAGTGGTAGAGCAATAGAACTAGGACAGTGCCCAAGCCCGAGCTCAAGCTAGGCAACAGACAAAAGAAATGTGAACACTGGACAGTCAAGGGTCTTTGAGTATAAACTTTGGGAACTCAAGGGGGTGGCATTGTCTGAGGGGTCTGGTGTGCTGTACACATGCACAGGTGCCACCAACTCTGGGGCTCCAGAATTCTGGAGACTGAGGTGAGTAAGGCTGAGATGGCACCATAGAGAACAGGACAGGAAGCAAGCCACAGTGAGAAATGGGCCTACCCCAAGGGAACTTAAGAAGTGAGGACTCCCTTATGCTAGGAAGCTGGGGTATCAGCAAGGCCTCCAGAGTTATTTCTGCAACCATTGGATAAATGACCCTGAAGTCATCCTGATAGAGAAGGGCAGCTAGGCCAGGGCATGGACAGCAGAATAAGGATAGAATGTTGCAGAATGAGTGTGTGGATTGGGGGGCGGGGTTGTCCAAGTGTGAAGCTGAGAGTCTGCAGAGGTCAGTCATGCATCCCAATAGAGGATCATGGAAGCCCCTGAAGGGACAGGACCAGGAGGAAATGCAGTCAGCTCTGAGTGGGATGGATCACACCACACATCATAGGATTGAAACTGATTAAGAAGGAAACCTTCATGCAGGGCCAGGGCCCTGGGTAGCACCACAGAGAAGTCCTATCAAAGGCCATCTTTGGGGAGACTGGAAAGGGTTTCTGAGAATCCAGCTGCTGAACATCTCAACAAATCTCATTGGATCTTCAAGCAGGAAGACGCTGGAAGAGCCATGGTCCCCTGAGAGTCCTCATCTCCATCCTTGAATTCCTTCACAGTTCTCAGAACACTCCAGCCCATTGTCTATCTCCTTTGCCCCTCCATCCAGTCCCACTTGGCAGATAGGGAAACTGAGGCCCTGTCAGGTCACTTAGGGTTAGCTGAGCTGCCAGGCTGGAAACTTGGAGCAGAGTCACATCAGCCCCGAGTGTCAACCTCGAAGCCCAGCTCCTTGTCCGGGAGGGGGTCCTCAGGGATGTCTGGCAGCCCATAGTACAAGTCTTCCTCTTCCTCCTCAGGCTCATCGGGGCTTGTGTCTGCAGAATCCTTCCTCTTTTCCTTTGCCTTCAGAGATGGCTGCAAGATTTGGGGTTGGGCTGCATCTTGATCCTGCTTCTCCGGGGCTGTGTCATCCAATGCGGGGGTGTCATCAATTAGGGCAAAGTCATGGAAGGGGTCAAGTGGGCCCCTTTGAGCCTGTGACTTCTGCGGCCAAGAGCGTGGCTCCTCCCTGTCAGTTGGAGATGAGTTAGGGCTGCTGCCTTCACTGGAGTCCATGTCCAGCTCATCTTGGAAGGAAGCCAAGGGTGCAGGGGCCAAGGGACAGGCTGAGGGGCTGCAGGGGCAAAAAACAAGTAGGTCAAGAGTCGTCCTGAGTCAGATCACCTGGGTCCTGATCATAGCCACCAGTTGCAAGTTCTGAGAAGTGAAAGTTCACCTCTCTGAGCCTCAGTTTCCTCCTCTGGAAAGTGAGGAGAAATAGTACTCACTGCTGAGCCTGATTCTGAGAGTCATAGCTGATAACAATGTACAAAGCACATTGCACAATGCCCGGCATGTGGTAGATGCTCAAAACAGGGCTGTTAGATTACTGTGAAGACTTCACCTCCAGTCATCCATATCTCCAGCCATCCCTCTTCTCCTCTGGTCTCTCACAACACTTGTCACCCCAAGAGTCCCTCTGTTATCTCCTTTGCTTGCCCCACAAGACTAGATAGAGTTCTGGAGGCATGGTGCCCAGGCAGGCCTAGAAGGGAGCTTGTGCCAGGTTCTAACAGTGGAATGAGTAAACAAGTGGATGAGTCAGGAGCTCAGTCACAAGCAAGCAGACACAGGCGTGCAGGGGCACAGCCTGGCCTGTGGTCACTGGGAGGTTGACAGCAGTGGACTCACGTCCTCTGCTTCCTTGTCCTCAGCACTCATGACAAACATCCAGAGTAAGCAAGGACCTACTGTGTGCCAAGCATCAGAAATGTATTACTCCAAGCTTCACAGCACCTCTGGGTATGTGGGAATGACTATTCTGTTAGGGAAACTGAGGCTCCAGAGAGTAAGAGAATTGCCAAGTTGACACAGCCAAAGAGCTGGTTTTGCAGCCAGGCCCATCTGACCCACAGTCTGCTCATGTATTTGCCGCTGATGTCATGTCCCCATCCCCAGCTGCCTGCTCCTCACTCCCAAGTGCCCCCCACTCTCTCCTTTGCACACTTGCCTGCTCTGAGATGGGGTTCCTTCTTGCTCGTTCTCATCCAAACTCCTATGGACAACAACAGAAGCCTCCACCCAACTCTGAGCATCATGAGAGCCACCATCTCCTCCACCGCTGGCTTCCGACTTCAGCTCAGGGGTCAGCAGCGGGCGGGGGTCCTCGCTGTAACCCATGACCTTCATCTGGATGTGGCTGAAGTTGGGCAGGCTCTGGTCATAGGCGGCTTCCTCCCACAGCCTGACATAGGGGGGCTGGGGGCTGAGGGCCCAGAGAGGGAGATATGAGGAGAGACAGACAGACAGACCAACAGAGAGAACAGGCAAGTGGGCAATGATCCACTCAGCAATCCTCGATGTCATTACCTGGATTGTGTGCTCTGGGCATGAGATCCCACAGATCTCACCAAGAGCCCCCAGGGGATCTCCCTGTACCCATTCATGGATGACAAGGCTGAGACCTCACACTGTGAGGAAATTAAGTGGCAGAGGTGGGACCCAACTGCAAGTCTGACTCTCAGTCCTGTGTTCCCTTCACTTGATGTCTCAAAGGGAACCACAGAGTATGAGGGCAAAATGGAGACCAGTCCCATGGAGGTGCATGGGGTCCCAGACTCCTAAGCAACCCTTTCTCTAAGCTAAGGCTCCAGGCAGTCGTGGTCATTTCCCTTGTAAGTATGGGCCACAGTGGCAGCTCATTAACTATTGTGGGCTCCTGGCCTACCAGGATCTGGTAGTAAGCTCCTCTGATCCTCCCTGATGCAGGAGGCCCAGTGTGGAGACCTTGCCTTAGGGTCTGAAACTGGCCTGCAAGCACAGTACACCACCCTCAGCTGCTAGTGCAGAGCCCAGTGTCCTATTCTCTATAATTATGCTACAGCCTGCAGAAGATGAGGGTCAGAGACAAGCTGCCCTGCAGGAACAGACAAAGAAGAGGCTAGAACTCCCAGGTGACAGGAAAACCCAGGATGGCCCTAGCCCCAGCTTGGAGTTGGACAGCCTTTCTCAGAAGATGTCCACTGCATTGCTACTCCACATTGTCCAGTCTCTCTCTGTCAGAGGCAGAACATGACAGTGCTCTCAGCTTCCCTCAGCCAAATAGAGCATCTCTGAACCCCACCCACCTTAGGCCTCAGGGACACAGCCAGAGGTCAGTGGAGGCCAGGGTGCTCTTGCCTGGGCCTCAGAACCACGTCAGGCCTGAGTTCAGGCTCCATCTCTATCCGTCACTCCCCATGAGATTTGGGGCTGGCGACTCTATTTCTCTGAGTCTCAGATTCTGTACAATGGGAATAATAATACTTAGTTCCAAGAACCAAGAATGAGAAACAGCCCATAATGTGTAATAGATTGTTCTCAGGAAATGGAGAGGCAAAGTGAAACCTGGGTCATGAGAGAAAATAGAAGATACTGCTCCCCCACTGGACTGGACACTTTCCCCTCTGCTTCCTTCATTCGCCGCCTGATGGGAGGCTGGGACGAGGCCCCCCTTGCACTCACCTCTTCAAGTCAGACAGTCTGCTCTCCAGCAGGCCTAGTGCCTTCGGGGACAGGGCGCCTTGGAAGTCAGAGTCAGCAGGCACAAAGGCAATCTGCAGAGACAAAGGGAGACAGCCTGTGCATCTGAACACAGCTGCTTCCACACAGCTCAGAGCCTCAGTAGACCTCCCTGGGTGCCCAGGAAAAGAAGCTGGACTTGGCTGGGGCTCCATTTGACAAGCAGGTGCTGTTCAGAGCATGGCTCCAGTGGTGGGCGGTGGCTGTCCCAGACCTGCTCTGTGCACTCACTCTCTCCACCACTAGGGGCAGCAACGAGTGAGAGGCCATTTGCCCTAGTACTCAAGTCTCATCATTCATTTCCCAGAGGTCTCATCCCAAACCTGACATTCAGAAGGCCCTTCATTCTAGGCAGTGAATGAGTGGAAAGCAGGTCCTGTGCTTGGTGGTGCAGAGACTTCAGAAACAGAAAAGTGATGGAGCAGTGGTTTCCATAGCCCATTCCTAAACTCTCAGGATGCAGCCGTCTCTGTATGTCCAGCTCCAGTGGCTGAGCAGTGGGGGATGCAGAGGGAGGGAAGTCATGAAGGAGGCAGTGGGACAGGTCAGAAGGAGACTAGGGTTTAGAGAATGGGTGAGGCTCCTTCTGCCAGGTCCTTGCTAATGGCCCAAGACAGTCACCCCTCTGCCCAGAGCCTCTCTCAGTTCTTCTGGGCCGTGGGGCTGGCCTTGCCTATTGGTACTCAGAGCACCATCATCATGTACCACAGAAACCCACGTGCCCATTGACATAAGATGACTAAATAAAAACGGTGAACACATACAGTATCACACCAGGATCCCTTGTAGCTGGTTCTGACCTTCAGAGAAGTTGTTTCTTCACCCCAATTAGCTCATGACTCAGACATTATCATTATCATCACTACCAACACCATCATCATCACCATGACCTACAGTCATCAATACCGCCACCATTATAACCTCCATCACCGTCTTTATCACCACCATCACCTCTATCACAATCACCATCATCACCACCACCACCTCCACTATCATCATAACCACCATCAACTCTATCACCACCACCAAAAAACAATACTACCACCATCACTATAATCATCACTACCACTTAGAAGACCATTACCATCATTACCATCACCTCCATCAGCAGCAGGACTAACATTACCATCAACCACCATCACCACCACCTCCATCACCACTGTCACCAGGACTGCCATCACTATCCTCAACTTCATCATCACCCTCTCCACCACCACCTCCATCCTCGTCCTAACCACCATCACCACTACCATTGCCACCACCAACACTACCATTATCACTATGATTACCAACATCACCACCATCATCATCATCACATCACTCACTGCAATCATCAAGGTCATGGGCATTTCTGTGAAATCCTGGAGGAGACAGAGAGAAGGTAACATTGGAACACAAGCCCTTGTTCTAAGGGAAGAGGGTGGACAGGCAGAATTGAAGCTGGAGGCGGAGAGCAGGACATGGAGACCCTCAGATTATCAGACTAAGGGGCTCAGCCTCTATTCAAAGCATGGATGTATCTGGCATTCTCGGCAGGAGCACCACGCAGTCACATTCATGTGTGGGCAGAACTTGGGCAGCTGCCAGAGGGAGGAAGCAGGGAGGAGGAAGGCTATGGAAAACACAGACCCCTCAACCAGCTGCTGTGGTCCAGGGCTCTGGCAGAGCAGGCAGGAACAAGGAGTGGGGGCCTCAGAGGCAGAGGGTCTTTTCTCCCCTCCAGTTCTTCCTCTTCTCTCTGCTCCAGCTCAGCTGCCAGACTCCACATCCCCACCCACTAGCTCTGCCCTCATTCCATTCCTCATCCTTGGGCAGGAGAATGCTGGCTCTCACTGACTATGCTACCACAGCCATGCCACACGGAGGGGACTGGATGGCTCCTCAGTTCCTGCAGCCTTAGGTTCAAATCCTGACATCATGTTTCCCACCTACACAGAAGCAGTCTCACAGCAACTCTGTTGCTTCTGGACATCAGCCTGACTACTTTCTCACTCAGCACGGCTGCTCCCTTTCCTTCATCCATCAACTGAAGGGGAAGCTCCAGCATCCTTCCGTGGCAGCTCAGCCCATTCCTCTCTATCTGTACTTGCTCCCCTGCCTGCCAGCCAGCAGCCATGCTGACCCATTGACCTCATTCTCTTATCACCGCTTTGCTCATGCCCTTCTTCTGCCTGGAGGAATTCTTATTTAACCTATAAAACCCCAGATCACTGTCCCTGTGAAAGTTACTTCTTTCTTATAGACAGATAACTGTCTCTCCCCCACCCAGGCCCCCCTAGCTACTCAAAAGGAGGGAGAGCTTGATTCATGTTTGCATTGGCTCTCTCCATCCTCATATCCTACCTAACGATTATATCTCAGTCAACCCAGAAAATTCCTATACACTGAAGCATTCTGTGGGCCATGTACCAAGAGCCCAGGAAGAAGCCAAGGGGATGAGCCTGGAGGGCCGCAGTGGCCGGGCTATCCTCATCCTCATGTGTCTCCCTGGTTTAAAACACTGTTTCTTAATTTTTCATTGGGATAAACTTTGTTTTTTGTACCAACACTGTAGTTTGAACTCAGGGCATGGGCACTGTCTCTTAGCTTTATTCACTCAGGGCTGCTTCTCTACTAGTTGAGCCACAGCTCCACTTTTGGCTTTTTGGTGGTTAACTGAAGATATGAGTCTCATGGAATTTCTTGCTCTGTCTGGCTTCAAACCTAGATCCTCAAATCTCTACTTCCTGAGTAGCTTAGTTTACAGGTGGGAGCTACCAGAGCCTGGCCCATTGGGATCAACAGAGTCTCTAAAACTCCCCTTCCCCCGCCCCCCATTTCCAGGCCCTGCCCAGCACAAGCCCTAAGAACAGGCCTTCACTCTCTTCATACCAGATAAAAATGCTAGGTCCTCCCATACACCTAAGCCTCCAGTGCTTCCTCACACTTAACCTTAGAAGGCACAAGGTCAAGGTCATAAAGAATTTGAATCTGGGCCTGTGGGTTTCCACCTAACACACTTTTTCCACAGCCAAACATATGTGAGTCTATCCACAGTTACTCATTAATACCCAGTAGTATTCCTCCCCCTACTACCACCAGTCCTCTGCCCACCAACCCCAGGAAGGAGCTGCCCACTCATCTCTCCACCCATCCTCCTCTCCCAGGGCCCAGCCTCCTCCCCAGGAAAAAGATGATGATGACAGTGATGACGTGCAGACAGGCACTGGCTGGCTCCAAGGGCCTCTCCTCCTGGTGACCTCTGCTCAGGGCATTGTACAGACAGAGGCAAGTTGACTGTAAACTGCCCAGTAAATAGCTATAAACCAGTGTAGACTGCCCTAGCTCTGGACACACCCAGCCCAGGGCAGGCCCATGGAGAAGGCAGGGCTGGCACCCAGCAAAAGCCAGGCCCCAGCCTCCACCTGCTCCTCTGAGTTCCTGAGCACAGCCACCCAGTGGTAGGAGAGAAAGGGGTCCTACACATCACACTCTGCAGATGCTCCCCACATTTGCACCCCATCTTCTAGACTCACTGAGGAATCCTCCTATAGCAAAGAGGAAGCAGAGAGGAGAGGGACTAGAGCCAAGTCTCCCAGGCAGTTAGAGACAAAAACCCAAGTTGGATCCATCTTCCCTGAGCCTGCTTGTTTGTCTGAGCAGCTGTTTGTCCTGGAAAGAGTCACCCAACCTCTCTGGACATTAAAGGTTTAAAACTCCTGACATGCCCATCCACAGGGTAGATCTAGAGAGGATCTAGAATCATGATAACAGCTGTCCTTTACCCAAACTCCCCCCCACCCCCACAAAATTCCAGATGGGCCATTTTCCACCGCTTCTGTGATCACAGAGCGGAGAACTGGGGTCCCATTTGAGTGGATGAATACACTGAGGTTCAGAAAGACAAAAGTCACACACAGAGTTGGGGAGAGAGCCAGAACCAGAACACGGAACTTCCAAACCAGGCCACCTCCCAATCACAAAGTCCCTCCCGAGACTAGGAAGAGATTAAGATTCTGAAATAGAAAACCCTTGTGTCTTCAAGTTATACCTGACCCACCCAGACCTCTCTAGAGCTCTAGGACATGGAGTGGAGCACTCAAGCTGGAGGACTACCCTTTAAACCACCCATATCTAAGCTCCCATCCAAACTTGGCTACTTAGCCATGGAACACCACCCCTCAGAGCCTTCAGCCACTTGACTCGGAAAGCAGCTAAGAGAAGGCCCAAGAGAGAGCTCAGGGTGAGGAGGGCTGGGCCACAGGAAATAAGCACCAGCTGACTGGCCAGGAACATAGATCAGGCTTCTGGGTCTCATCAGAACCCCCTGTGATATCTGGGTCAGGGTCCAGACCCAGAGTGCTTCTGCCAGCCCTAACACTGAGAGCTGGATGGAGAGGTGATCAGATGCTCAGGAGCACAGAGAAGAAATCAAGGAGTGTCAGAGGGAAGACAAGATGATTGGAGGGTGGAGATGGTATGTAGGCTAGAGGCCCAGCCACCTGTTCATTGACCCCAGACCCCACACCTACCTTGGGGTAGCACTGGCACATGCTCCAGATGATGCCCCCGATCACCATGATGCTGCCCATGGCATAGAAGGTGCCATAGACCTGGGGCCGGTCGTGGCTCATGAGGAACGTGCCGAGGGACAGCAGGAAAAGCCCCAGCACAATGAAGCCAATGCGGAAGGTCTTCTCGTCGGCCATGGCTGCCTGGCCAGGCCCTGACCTGTGTAACCCCAAGCAGAATGGGCACCAGACACCCTGCACAAACAGGGCACAGGCTCACCCAGGGAGGGACGGAACTCCGGGGTCACCACGGATTGAGCTGAAAGTCAGAGGAAGGGCAGGCTCCCTTCAGGTCCTGTTGTAGTCCCGGGACCGCCAGCGAGGCAGGGCTGGAGGTGACGCGCTTCAGTGGGCCCGTGGCCCAGCCGTCCACCTTCACTCCTCACACATTCACCTTCCCTCTGGGCCCAGTGGCCTGACGTGTGTGTGAATCTGAGTGCAGAGACGAGGGGAGGGACAGGGGGAGGTCACAAGGCTGGGCCCCTGCCAACGCTTTGACATCACCTCATTTGCCTAGTGTGGAACTGAGCTGGGCGACAGGTGACTCCACACCTTCCAAGAGAAGCAGGTAGAAATCTGCAGCCCAAAGAAGTTAGAGCTGCTAGAGGGCTCCAGGAGCCCAGGCTAGCAGTTTAGAGTCCTGGAGAAACCTACAGTCTCCAAAGACAAGCGTCCATCTGGCTGGGGCTCAGAAAGAATGCTTCCTATCAGCTACCAGTGACTATCTGGGACAGGTTGCAGCTACCCATTTATTTAAGGGGAACTCTAGAAGGCAAGTACCACATTTCCACTTTACAGATGAGGACGTGGAACCTGCTGGAAGTCACAGCTAAGTGTGGCAGAGCGAAGACAGGAGTCCAGTGCAACACTGCTTAACTATGATGCGAAGCGGAAACTTGGTGAGCCAACTGCTGGGCTGGTGTTCAGATTCTTCCACCCCAATCTTACTAGGCCATGTCTCAATTCCTCCTCTGTCATATGGGGATGATCATCCTGATCCCTTCTCAGGACTGGAGCTGTCCCCAGGCTGGTTCTCCTCTGTCCCCTTTGGATTTCATGTCTTATCCAGGCTTGCTTACCACAAGCTGCCCCTCAACCTCCAAGGGACTGAGGTGTGTATTAACACCTGCCCCTGCAGGGTGGGAAGGACTGACTCCCTCTTCCTCCTTGAAGCCCTCCTGGGAAGATGCCTTCATCCTAAGAATGATGTCACCAGGGATTTTCAGTCCTGAGAAGTCAGTCACTTGGTGCCACCCAGGGAGATCAGGGGCATTTTCATGGGGCTCATTGGCTGATACACCCTATAGATTGGGGGTGGTTGATCAGGCCATCTCCAGGTCATGCGTAGGAAAGTGTAGAAAAAGCCGACTGTGATTACTCACAGCCCAGGCTCTGCAAGGATTCATGATCACCAATTCACAGAGGCCCAGAGTCACCTCATTGGTGCTGTTCCCAGAAAAAGAGACAAACCCAGAGCATCCGCCTCTCCCATCCACAGTGGCCGTCCACGGGAGCCTCTTGCACCCCCTGGTGGCCCCGCCATGCTCCACATTGTGATATCCTTGTGGCCAAGTTCCAGGAGTTCCCACATCCATTTCCCAGATGAAGAGACTGAGCCAGGAGTGGCAAAGATTCCTTAAGATCTTTCCAAACTGACTGAGGAGTTGATTGGGGACAGGGACTAGAGCACCCCCTTCCCTTCCCAGTGCAGGCAGGGCAAGAAGGCCTGTGGTCACTGGAGCCAGCTTGCTCTGTCCTCCTCCCGTAACCCTCCCCTTGTCCACCGCCCACTTTCATCCCTTTTAGATACAATGAGTGACAGCAGGAGTAAGTTGATGCCCAGTAAAATAAGTCTAGTCCAGCCTCCCAAGGGTTGTAACAACTAAACAGAAAAGTGTGTGTGCAGTGCATGGGCCTCTGTTGTCCAGTGTTCCTGCTCCCTGCAAGTCTGTCTCTCCCTCCCCCCTCCACTTTGACTTTGGTCCTGCCACTGGGCAGGGAGGGGCCAAGGGGGCAGCTAAGGAGTCCATCACCTGCCAGCAGAGGGCACTCTGTGTCCTTTATCCTATCAGGTAGTAGAACCACCCCACAGGACACTCAGAGGAGGGAGGAGAGAGCATAGCTATTGACAGATGCAGAAACTGAGGCCCACGAAGGCATGGCTGGTGCTCTGTTCTGCCCTCTACTACATGGCACAACAAAAAAATGAAGTATGTGTGAGGTTAGCACAGTGGGAAGCAAAGAGAGAGACTGCTGGGCGGAGTGAAGGGACAGACTTACAGAAGAAGCTGGTGAGAATTCTTACCACCAGCATGTGCAAAGCACAGGGGCAAGTGCCCACTGACAGGTGGCAGGCTCTGTGAAGAGGCTGGTCCACACTGAGCCCTCCTATATCGTCTGTGTCTTCTAATGAGTTCCCAGGCCATATTAGATATTCAAGCTACCCTCCCTGCCTCTGTCACCCCCATATCCTCTTGATTGGACTTTCAGTTCCCACTACTGATCCTCACCTGCCCGAGCCCCCATCCTCTCTGTCCCTCTAACTGGTCTCTGCTTCCATCCTTGACCCATGAATCTCATTTTAGCCCCGAGGCTAGGTTAACTCATTATTCCTCTGCGCAGGACTCCTCTGGAACCTCTCCCTGCCTTCCCAGAGTAAAAGCCAAAGGCTTTAAGTAAGTGATGCTGATGAGCTGCTGTAGAGAGAGGCTGAAAAGGAGAGAGAGGGCTGCCAGCTCTCCCACTCTGCCCTCTAGCTATAGCTAGGAAAAGAGACCTCTTACTCCCTCCTCCATCTTTTCTCCTCTCTCCTCCCTCCTTCTTCCCCCCTCCCCTTTCCTCCTTCTCACACCTGCAATTCATTAACTTACCTGTGCTGGGCCATTGCTCACTTTGGGGTCACAGGGCCAACATTAAGCCCTTAGAAATTGCAGAAGGTCTAATAAAACATGTGTCATGCACAAGGTTACCAGCAAGGTAGGGGCAGAGCATCTGCAGACATCTGCATGGGCCCTGGGATGGCTCAGGAGAAAGAGATGATCAGGCCACTTGTGATAAGAAAAGGAGAAGAGTGGGAACACAAGAAGGAGAGAGGGTTCCTAAAGTCCCTCGAGTTAGTGAGGACCCAGCTCTGGGGAAGAGCTTCTAGAATAGTAAGAGCAAAAACCATGACACTGGAAAAGAAGCTAGGTCTGTTGGGGAGGGGTATGGAGGTGGGGAGCAGACCAGACCTCTCCTCAGACCAGCAAAAGACCTCTCCTTATTCTAAGTGAGCTGTAGCTAGCTGTTACCAGATCTGGCCAGGGCCTGACAAGGCTGGCTCAGGGCAGAGAAACCTTCAGGAAGGGGACAGACAGACAGACAGGGAGGCTTCATGGACAGCTACTGAGTGGTCCAAGCCATTGAAAATAGGAGACCCCGGGTCCAGGAGGAAAACATGGCCCTGACTTTCTTCTCGGGACAGTTACCTCTCTCCAGCTGTTCTCTTGCTTCCAGGGACTTCCTTGGAGCCTGTGAGGAGTGGCGTTGAAGGAATAAGACAACAGCAGAAGGCCGGCCCAGCACACAGTAAGCCCTTGTCTAGCTGACTGAGCCCCGGGCCTTTGTACCTCTGCCTGCTGTGGGACTCAGGGAAGCTCACTTAAACCTCACTCGCCTGAAACTGAGACAAAATGAGAAAGGCCCAAGTTCCCCGCTGTGTTCTCTGTCTTGAATGAGATGCTGTTTACATACCTGCTTCCTTCAACACCACCAGCCTCACCATGTGTGGAGAGCCAGGCTCAGAGCACCTTTCTGGCACTGAGCACTCCTGCAGTGATCAGGAGCACCTCATAAATTTTTCTCCCCACTTCTAGGGGACCCTAGCCTGTGATCATCATCCTTATTCTGGAACAGTAGCTCCATCATTCTCATTCAGATAGTACAGACTGTCTGTGCAGTTTGAACCACCAACAGAGCCAAAGAACCCAAGGCCCAGAGCAGGAAACACTGGTTGACTGGTAACAGAACAGAAGTGGGTAGGGAGGTAACATGGGGTTTCAGAGAGGAGCTACGTGGAAGCAGATGTTCCTGCCCACAGGTGGCCAGCGGGGATGGTATTGGGCTTCTGCCACAGGACATATGGCAGCACAGGCCAGACCTGTGCTTGGTAGAGGAGGAGCAGGAATCATTACATACCTAATGCTAATGCCACCCTGGACAAGCTGACACCCGCATTTACTACCTGTCATCCGCACAGAGCCTGTGGGAGACCTGCGCCCCCAGCCTCTACTGTTCCATCCCATTTATCTTCCCACCCAGGTGTCACTCTAGATGGGGAGACTAAGGCTGATAGAGGGTTAGTTGTTGTCCAAGCTCACCAAGATGGTACCTGGTGGCATTCAGCACAAGTGATCTGAATCCAGAGTCCTTTGTTCGCTTAGTCATTAGCTTAGAGTGTGGCGTGGGCCAGGTCTGCCTCTGCCTCTTGCCAGGCAGCTGCCAGCCATTCCCACCTGCCAGCAGCATCTGGGGCTGTCATCTTCCATGTTGAGTCCCTGATTACTACAGCCTCATGGATACCGCATGGGACAGAAAATTCACCAGAACCAGCTAGTAGAATCATGAGACATCATGAAACATGGATGTATTTAAATCTAGCAAAAAAAATGTACAGTGTTCACTGCACACCAGGCCTGCAGGGCAAACCTGGAAAAGGCTTAACTTTCATTGCCAGTTCTAGTCCAGCTAGGAGCCTGGGCACCAAGATGGTACTTCTGCAGTTCGAGCTAGTCCTGGGTTGGAATGCCAGGAGCTGGGAGCACATGGTGTCTTTCCAGAACCTGCACTGCAAGCATGGATGCTGGTGGAGTAGCTGGGTGGAGGTGAAGGGGGCCGAGTCCCCAGCAGGGCTGGCCCCAGCACCCTGCACCACAGGTCTTCCTCTGGAGGGTATGCAGTCAGTACTGGGGGGCTCTCCACCAGGGGACAGCATGTGGCCTCCTCACAAGTGGGGATGGCAGTCCTAGAGAAACAGACAAAAGGGTATTTTCAAGGCAAGGACAAAAACTCACCACATGTCAGGGAGGCACAAAGAAAGGCTGGGCCTTCTTTCCGTGGTAGATCCAATGCTTCATAGCTCCCTGGTGTGACCTGCTCCACGCTGACACATGACTACTCTGCTAGCCTTGCTCTCCTACCCTTCCTTCCAGCCCCCTCCTCCCTCCACATGGAAAAAGCCATCTCCCACCCCCTACATTCTCTGCCCTATTCCCTGCTGTCCTTTGAGATAACCCAGGGACATTTATGTCCTACCCCTCCCTGAGAAAAGATCTCACTGATGCTCTGCCCCCCCCACAGTGATGCTTGCTGTCTGTTACTGTCGTGACACTATTTGATTGACCCCTAGAACAGGGACTGACTGTGAGTATGCAGAGACTAGTAACAGGTGCTTGGGATGGTTGTCAAAAGATGGGGTGGTGATCATGAACAGAGATGCCCAGGTTACAGAAGTGTCCTTTACAAGGCCAACAGAATGGGAGACCTCAATCCCCATGCCTGCCTGGATGCTTGAGTCTTTGGCATAATGTCTGCCTAGTGGTTACTGCTGCTTGCTTGCCTCAAAGGATAATGTGCTCCCTACTACCAGGACAACCACTTTATTTTTCAGTCCTGGGTCTTGAACTCAGTACCTGGGTACTGTTCCTGAGCTTCTTTTGCTCAAGGCTAGTACTCTACCACTTGAGCCACAGCACCACTTCTGGGTTTTTTCTGTTTATATGGTACTGAAGAATTGAACCCAGGGCTTCATGCATACTAGGCAAGCACTCTACCACTAAGCCACATTCCCAGCCCCACCAACCACTTTTGAACTCTGCATAGCTTAGCTTTCCTGTTACTTTTTGCCTTACTCCCCCACCTCCCCAGCCAACTGAGTCACTTACAGACTCTAGGCAAAGACAGTCTTCCAGTGATCTGCCAGCCAGATTCTCAGACCAGGCACCTGTATCCCAGCTACTACAAGGCTGGACTGGCCTTTTCTAAGCCCTGAGGGTCATCTGTAGGGACTCAGTGCCCTTTTCTATACCAGGGCCTTGGAGTGGGTGTCACTGTCCTATATTTGAGGTGACACTGGCGGGTACAAGGTTGACTGGGTGACATTGAAGGTCATTTCTCACACTAAGCCACTAGAGGGCTGGCTCACTCCTTGCTCTGTTGCATTCTTGGTAGAAATCAAGGGTCAGTAACTCTGTTTATCAGGGCCTCAGTTTCTCTACCTGTGAAACGCTAACAGTGACAGGCAAGAATGACAGTCTGGGAAGGTGGCTCAGTGGCAGAGCGCTTGCCTTGCATGTAAGAGGACCTGGGTTCGATTCCTCAGTACCACATAAGCAGAAAAAGACAAAAGTGGTGCTGTAGCTCAAGTGGTAGAGCTAGTCTTGAGCTGAAGAGCTGAGGGACAGCACCCAGGCCCAGGGTTCAGGCCCCACAACTGACAAAAAAAAAGAAGAAATGACACAAGAAGGCAGTCAGCACATGGTGTATAAACCAGGTGTTAGCAGCCACTAGAAGGTCTGCTGTGAGGAGGGCAGGTGTGTATCCACAGGACCCTGGAGTTGCAGGCCCTGCCATGAAGGCTCAGAGCAGCCACGTCTCTGCAGTCCATTTGGAGCTCACTGGAGACTTCAATTCTTCCACACCAATGATCTCACTGTCCAAACCCAGGAGAGGCCACTGCAGAAGGCCAATGCAGGGGACCCCAGGAGTGAAGGATGGGAACATGCAATGGCCCCTGGGGACATGTCCCTTCTCTCTAGCAATGTGTCCTCCTTGGTTCAAGCCAATTGCAGCTCCTTGAAGAGCTCACCACAAGCAAGTTCACTACTCCCAGCCACAGATGAGGTTATGTGGCAGCAGGATTTGGGGTGCCAGCCAGAAGTCTTGTAACTGAGGAAGCCCTTGGGGCCTTGTGCATCTCTGAGCTCCCAGCATCCTTTGCAGGGAGAGTAGGGAAACAATGTTCCTGAAGGCAGGCAAGCATGGGTCTATGCTGTGTGACCTGGGCCCTGTTCACAACTTCTTTGAGCCTCTTTGAGCTTTGACAGCACTCAGAAAAATGTGAGTTATAGGGCTTCCAGCTCCCCCTCACTCCTGCCCTGCTCACCTTCTGGCTATAGCCCCCCCCACCCCATCATCCAAGAGTATCTGAGCCTTAAAGAACCAAGACAGGCTTTGAGGGTGTCTGGGGCCATCCCAGCAGGTGGCAGCTGGCAGGGCAGGGCTTAAGTGCCATGTGAGCTCAGCCCACAGCAGGAAGTTTACTTAGAAGGCGGGTGTGGAGTGGTCCTCAAACTACCTCCTATCACCTTAGCAGCCATCTGGACCCACCAACCCTAAATCTCCAAGGTCCTGCTCCAGAATGCCAAGAATAGAGGGTTTGAGGCTCTGCAGGGTGGTGGGGTCCCACAAGTCTCAGGTAGCCCCTTTCCCAGTGCATTCTGGGTAGGATACCATAGAGTGTGCCACAAAAGGGGACCAGGACAAAGACCTAACTACCCTGAGATGGAGTGGGGCAGATACAGTGGGGGGAAGTACCAATGAACAAGAATGACGTCCTATTTATCCAATGCAAACCAATGCACATCTATATCCATAACTACATGGGGGGAGGCATTTCACCCTACCCATTTTACAGCCCAGTAAAGCTCCTACCCCTGCTATCTGGTGAAGACCCATTTGCCTGACTGCAAAACGTAGTCTGCCCTCCCCACCCCACCTCTCCCTAGCTGCCTAATCTCTCCATACCTCAGGTTCCTTTTTGTAAAATGGGCATCATTACAGTCACCCCATGAGCAGCCAAGGTATAAACCAGTTAGTGAGCCTGGCACACTGAAGCTCGCAATGCACGGTAACCACGGGAAGCTAATGTGTGCACAAGCTTAACAGCCTGCCACTCACATCTGCCATCTCCTCTGAGCTGAAACAGCCACCACGGGCAAAGACCTCTCGCCTCCAGTTGACAGGTAAGGGATCAGGAAATCTAGAGGCATTCATAACACCTCCTGACTGGACCCAGGCCTTTCCTGCCATGTACACTGAAAGTAGGGAGTCCCAGGCTCCTTACTTCCAGCTACCTGTTACAGGACTGGCATTTGTGAGTGAGCTCCTGAGGCCAGGACTGTTTTCTGCCTGTCCCGTGATAGGCTCATATTAGGTCTATATTAATTAAATGCATGAAGGAATAAGGAAGCAAATAAATGGGAAAACTGAACCCCCGCAGGAAAAGAAGCCTACCTGAGCCAAGAGTCAAGCCAAGGGTCTGACCTGGCTACAGCCAGATACCCTCAGAGATCAAGGCTCCTAGGACAGGACCAGCACAGTAGCTCGTGGGGCAACAGCCAGGTTCTAGGGCAGCAGAGCTGGGCTTGGTCCACTTCTGGGCAGGAAGGGACAGACCAGCAGACAAGTTTTCTATACACCTAGATGTGGTTCTCACAGCCTGAGGGGTGAGAAGCCCCCAGCAGCCTCCTGGGTGGGCATCTTGTTTGACCTCTAAGAATGGAGGCCAAGGCTCACCTGCTGAACAGCTGGAGCTCAGACCCTGTTGTGTCCACATAGCTGTGTGTGTAGACAACAGCCACACCTACACACTCATGCCAGGCTGGGCGGGGAAGAGCAAGCTCCTGGGCACAGCTCCACAGCCTGGCATGGCTTCTGGAACCCCTAACCCCCAAGTGGGTCACTTGATCTCCCCAAAACCCAGGTTTCTCAGCTGAGAAGGGCAGGGCTCCTCTGGCTTATCTCCAAAGCTGACCTCTCTCTTCTGACAGTTCCTTCAAAGCAAGATCCGGCCAGGGGTTGAATGCCTCAATAAATACCTGCTCCGTCCTCATCTCAGAGGGCACTATCCCTCTGACAAGGGGAGATGGACATTCAGGCTCCAGAGCAGTTCCCAGGGGCCTAGCTTCGTTCCCTAAGATAGCCAGGAGGGAAGGGGGAGAAGCAGGACAGCTGTGGCCAGCAGGCTCCCACCGCGTTAGGTGCACCTGCCATCTCCCTATTCTGCAAACTGCAAGTGACTCTTACCTGGGCTATGCTAGAAGTACAGTGACGGAAGGAGAGCATTCCTGGGTTTCCCTGATGTCTCTGCAGGACCCTGGCTACTTCTCTCACATTGCTCTGAGAGGCAGTTCTCATCTACCTCTGTCCCAGGACATTCAAGTTCTTCAGGACTGTACCAATCAGTGTCCATGTCTCCGGTGCACAAGACAAGACGTGTGTCTTGAGGAGGAACCTTATAAAAGTTTGACTGTGTTCAGTCCCCTGGGATCCCCTCCCTCACCCCACTTACCTGCAGCTCCCCTTCTCCAAGGACTCCACAGTGACATGGTGCAGGTCTCGGGACAGGTGATACAGGTTCCATGGAGGCGGTGCTCGTGTGCCGGCCTTCATGGACCACAGCAGGCCAAAGAGCAGCAACAGGCCACCCACCCCACAGCAGAAGAAGCTGACAGACCTGAGCACAGGACGGGGGACCCCAGGGGTGGTGTGCTCCACACTGGGGGTCAGTTGGCCAGGCTGGCTACCTGCATCCCCTTCACTCCACCAAGCAAAGCAGAGGGTCCCAACTACCAGAACCACTGCACCACTGGCCATCATGCTGTAGCGAAGGGCGGAGGCCACGCGGCCCCTGCTGCACATCTGTACAAGAGAGAGAAGACACGGATGTTAGTCCTCCTCTGCTTGAGGTCACTGTGTGACCTTGGAGAGGCTGCCTCATTCCTCTGGGCAATGAAATGGATACAATGCCGCCAACTGCACAGGTCTCTGAGGGTCTCACATATAACACACATCATGATGTCACACATCGCATGCATCATGTTGCTAGGGCATGGTAGTGGTTTAACACACGTGGCCACTTTCCCTCTGGGCTTTTGTCCTGACTTCCTGGCCTGGTGGATGTCAGGCTCTCCACCTTCTGAGTAAGCCAGGAGGAAGGACATCGCCCACCTGCTGGGTCCCTAGGCCTGTCAGGACCAGGCTGGCTGGCTCTGCTCTGCCTCACCTCTCTTGGTCCCATGAAGGGGAAAGCTAGTATCACCATTAGACAGAGGAAGATACAGAGGTCCAGGTCAGGTGTGATCAAGGTGCTCTTAGGACAAAGAGCCAGGCTTCCTGCAAAAGGATATTCACAGTGGCCTTGTGGATGAGGATCATCATTTAGAACAAGCCAAAATGTCCAGCTATCAGCAACTGGCACACAAATCCATCACAACCTCCAGATGGAATAACTAAGTAGATTACCCATTAAGCTACCAGGCTGGACACAAGCATATGACAGAAGGGAAGGGCTCACAACCTGCTCCATGTCAAGTTAGTAACTAACCTTTGCAGAGTGCCGTGTCAAGGCCTTAGAGAAGATGCTGCATAGGGAAGGAACACAGGAAGGATTCTACAGACAGGAAGAGGCCGACTGTCCCCCAAAGCCAACATCTAGGCTGTTCTCCATCCCTAGTGAGTCTCTTCGTTGTAATTGCCTCCTTTCTGGCCTAGCCCTTACTGGAGGAACCTTCTGGTGCTAGAAAGCCCAAGTCCCTGAGGCCTTCTTGGAGCATAGTACTCCTGTGCCTACCTCCCTCCCTGCACCAGATCCCTCCTTCATTTCCTGTTCCTGTGGTCCTTCTGTTGGCTCTGCCACCTCGAGCTGGCTACATGGTGGAGGCTGGACAGAGGATGGGCCTGCTCCAACCCTGGGCACAGTTGCCTAGTCTCTCTTGGCCTCAGTGCCCCCTTCTAGGTCATAGGCATGATTTTTAGCTCCTGCCCCCAACTCCCACTTGCAGGTACCATGAGCTCATTTAGAAAGCCCTGCTCCTGTCAGGACAGCTTGGGAGAGCCCAGCTCAGGCTCTCACGGAAGCTGTGTCGGGTCTCCTGCCCTGGGCCACCAGTGAGCACCCATTGGGTGCCAGCTTCTGGAAGGGAGTAACCTGCTGATCCACAAGCTGGCCAGCCCATCCTCTCTAACTGCTGGGAAACTGAGGACCTGGATGGCACCCAAAGAACAAGTACCAACTGAGGAGGACCCCAGGTGTGCAGCTACAGGTGTGGGGGGTTCCCCACAGGGGGTCCAGGCAGGCAGCCTAGCAGGAGGTGGAGGGAGAAGGCTCTATCACCCTTACCCACCTCACTGGAGGCCATGGTGCTGCTGGCAATCAGAGGCGGTCCAGGTGCAGGGAACAAGGCAGGTATGACCCCATGGTGGCTGGGGGGTGGCTAGGTGGATGAGGGCTGTGTAAAGCCAGAGCTGTGGAGGACACAGGGGCTTTAGAGGAGAAGAGACCCCACACACACACACACCCTGCACACCC